GCAACGAAGCGCCGCTCGACGGTGCGGATGTGTTGAACGTATGCAGGTCGGCTTGGGCAGTTGTACTCGTAGTAGATCTGGCCACGAGGCAGCTCGGTGAAAGTCAGCCAGCACTCCACCTTGCGAAACGTGTGGAAGTGAGCACGCTTTACCACCGTCGACTGCAAGTCCAAGAGCAGATGCAAGGCTTCGTCTGTGCAAGCAGAATTCGCCGGCCAGATGGCCTGAGACGAGACCCAAGCTTTCGGATATCCCAAATGCGTCAAGTCATCCGGCTTGGGCATTACAGCATTGAAGGCAATCGTCCACCAAGAAAGAGCCACCTGGGACTGTAATTTAAGGCTCTTGTTGTGGTCATTATGCTAATGCCGTCGTTACAAAACGCCCCACCTCATGGGACTTGAACCAATCCAAGCTGGCTTGCAGGTTCTGCCAGTAGTTGGCCGGACCATGCAGCAAAGTAAACTGGACGGTGAAGATTTCGGGTCGGCTGAGGCTGACCTGGAAAAACGGTGGATTGACGTAGTAGATGTTCAACTGCACCTGCTCATCCGTCATGGCTTTCCGAAACAAGCTCACGACCTCATCGTGCGACATCTTCACCTCAAGTCGGCCGCGACATGCAAGCTTCTTAAGCCCCCAAGCACAGTCAAACAGGGTATGATTGGATCCTGCACGTAGGCGCTGTTCTGGATGACGGTTTCTACTGGTTTCGGCGTTGTTACGAAGCATCAATGAAGCAAGTAGGGACCTTACCTCACATTCAACGACCTCGAGGGTTGTCAGGAAACCAAATCGGCATCCCTGCACCCTACAGAAGCGCTAGAATTTGGAAGCTCTTGACCGGAATCCTGAACCCTGGAACCACGACAAAGCCTAAACTCCTGTGAAAGTCCAAATTCAACTACCCCAAGCTTTAGAGCCGAGACTCCCAGAACAGCCAAGTGAACGGCTCAGGGGCTTCGAAGACCTGAGCAAACAAAGACAGAGGACACTACCTTTCACCAGGCTTCGGCTTTAGCAGGTTGCGACCTTTTCTTCGTGCCTCGGAGCTGGTCGGGCTTAGGTGTTGAGGGGGGGTGATCGGTTGATGTGCTTCTTCTGCAAGACTTCTATGCTGGGCTTGGAGGGTTTTAGGGCTTGGGGCTAGACGGTGTTGGGACGAAAGGTTCGCAAGGTTTAGCGATTGTAGGGATCAGGGGTCCGGGCACAGAGTCAACTGAAGAGCCAATAAGCCTCTAAACTAGTTTAAATCAAACCGACGCACTTGCAGCGGTCGTCAAGGATACTGCCTCTTGAGCCACTGTCACTATGATTTTAACTCTTACCGGAATATCGTTGACTGCGTTATCAGTCAGGTTTAGGCTTTGGGTTGTCGTACTCTTTTAGGTCGAGGTGTGATGCCTTCAGCATCAAACATCGCCCCACACGCCACGTGGATATTGTTTGAGTATTTGCAGCCACAGGAGTTTAGCCGAATTGCCTTTGCTCCTAGTCCGTTTGTTCGAGCACCACTCCCCCATGACCCGTCTCTTCTTCGTACTTCGGTGAAGGATCATCGAGGGAGGAGCTTCTTCTTTTTGTGAAGTGGGCTGTCTTGCCAACAGCCAATTCCAACCCAAGCTTGGGGGCAGGCCGACAAAGATTAGCATAGCGCACCCCTTACCTGTCCCCGAATACCCAAGCTCAGTTGAGGGTGAACTCTGCGCCGCAGCCCGATGACACATGCGAAGGGGCACAGAAGGCACGAGGGACTGTTTCCGCAGGCCGGAGAGCCCCGAAGGTAGATGCTCACTCGTGTAATCACTCACTTTGGGTTGTCGGTCCAGAAAATCCAGCCACCGCAAATTGACAGAATGACAACATGGAAATTGTCTGCCACAGCAAACTGGCCAAGCCTTGAGTCTGGAGTGAGCTAACAAGCTTGAGACAGCTGTCACGGGAGCTTCCAGGGCTTTAAAGGGCCGTTTTAGCAAACTCAGACGAAGTGCCCTGACAGTCAAAGACGTCGCAATCGCGAAGTTGGAGCCTGCTTGTCGCATTGCTCGCCAGAGATCCTGCCACTAGTCACTGGTGCTTTGCAGCTGTGGGGGAGCCCTGAGAGCTCAATGTCCGAAACCTAAAACACGAAAGCCGCCGGAAACCCAAACTGGAAGTCCCAAACACATAACCGAAAGTTTTTGTGAACAGCGAGCCGATGGAGCTACCCAGGCTGTCGGTTGGCATGGGTGCAGCTGGGGCTGTTGCGGGGTTTAAGGGAGGATGGCACGGGTGACTGCGATGCACCGTTCAATGTGGGTACAACAGGCAGGGCGACTGCGCAGCACCTTGACAAAACCTTCTACAGGCTCAATGTCATCAAACACAATCTAACCCTCCATCCGGTGCACGACGTGAAAGCCCGATAGCCCGAAACTGAAAAGACTGCAAGCGAAACAAAAACCCCAAGGCTGATCCATGGTTCAGTCTTTATAAGGTTTCGCATTTGGCCTTCGGTTTTGCCAGGCCCCGAAACACCGTGCTTCGACTTCTCTCCTGGTGCGCAGACGACGCGCTCAGGGTCCGGATTTGGCCATCGGCAGTCACCTTACTTCGACGGCTTCAGATTCAGGAATAGACAAAAGGTGGAAAGGCCGTCCTCTCAGCAATAAGCTTGGCTACAGGCGTACATGTCCTTGCAGCTCAACAAAGCGATTTGGTTGCTTGAACCTCTACCGCGAGCTGAAACTCGAACGTTCCTTTTGGCTTGGATTGTTGAGCCTTGAAATCCGGAAGCCAAGGCCTATGTCCGAAGCCTTGTTAAGAGCTTAAGGAGCCTCTTGCTTGGCAAGTCCCACCATTCAAAGCATCTTCTTAGCTTCTCAGAAAATCTAATTCGTGGCTTTGTGCTTGGGGCGAGTGGGGAAGTGTGCAAGCAGACTGCAGCGGTTTTCAAATTGCCAAACCGGAGTGTCGGACTGACTTGGGCAACCCCACTGAAGCCTAGTGACCAATGCCCGCTTAGTTTGGAGACCTGCCCGGATCAAGCTCGGCGAGGTGCCACCCTCATGCTCATGATGGTCTCGTTCCCCCAGCCGTATAGGGCTGTCAACGAATTCATATGTAGACCACCATGCAGGTAAAAGCCGCCGACGCCCACAGCATGGCACGCCCCATGCACAATGGAGAAACGTCGTCGATCAATCATCCGAAACAAATCGCGAAACGTGTTGCCAGTCTCGAACTCAGCATACCACTCAGAGCTCTCGTGGTAGAGCCGCTTCCGCGTTCTGGATCTCAAGTCCAGATGAACAGAACCGGGCTTGATTCCATCACAAGTGTAACTGTGTCCACCACTTCGAACGCTGAGAGGAAGTCCTAAGGCAGTGCTGCGACGCATGGTCAAAGCTATATCCTCATCGGTACTTGGCCGAACCACCAGCAAGGGAAGAATGCCGTTGCAATCTGCGTTGCCCCATTCAAAAGGATACTTTGCCAGACCATCACAAATAACCTGACCCGACAAGCCTTTCTGGAAATCATCGCACAGATTACCAGACGCTCCGCTCGATTCAGAGGCTTTTCCGACGAAACTGCGACACAGCATCCGACCACATGCCAGGCCAACCAGAAAGATCGAGAAGCATCCGACTCGTGATCGTCCCAACTTTGGGAGACCGCCGCCGACAAGGCGCACATGCACAAATGACATGCCTGAACAAGGAATGCGCCTGCTGCTGGGATGTCCTTGATGAGACATGCAGGACCAAATTGACACAGCTATTACTTGACAGTCGCAATGAAACATGTTTAGGCTGCACCCGCAATGTGAAACTTTCCATTAATCACATGCGCTTCCTGTTCTTCTCAGTAGCGGTCCTCACCAATCGTGGCAGATTTCGACACGGACGTCCCAGCAGCTCAAGGTTACATTCAACAAAGACAAGAACCACCGACGTCGATGCCAAATTCCCGTGACGAGGTCGATTGTGTTTGTACTCCTCTCTACACGAGGGCCGTGTCCAGCTTAGGTCCGTGAGATTCTGAGCGTATTCATGAAGGGGACATGCAGATTGAATGGAATCAAGATTCCTAAGAAAGACGTACTTGAGGATTGTTTCGAGGAGCTGGTGTCCGTCAGCGGCTAGGCGTCGACCATCAATCGCAAGCCCTAAAGCTTAATGTCAAAACCATGATTCGCGCAAAGAGGGCTTTTTCTGTGCGCTCTGCGCTGAAGCTGCCTTTGGTAGCTCCTTGCATGCTAGAGTCGCCGCTAAGGACTCCCGGTTCGGTGCCTGGTAAGATTCGGCATGCATGGCATGACGGTCTGCTTTGGAGTTGCGGAGTTACGGGCTGTTAACGGGTGCTTTTGGGGTTGCCGATTGTGGGGCTGAAGGCTAAAGGGGAGCAGAGGGCTTTCCCTAGGTTCGAGCGCAGCTGAGACACCTCGCCAGGAAATTAGATCCCAACGCTCCAACCCCGAAAACATAGGCGGATCAGCTCCTTGAACAAGCACTGGGCGATCTGCTGCTTGCTAAAACGGAACATAGGCGGCTTTCTGTTTCTTGCTTGGGGGTTGGGGTTTTGCGGATGTAGGAGTTACTTTGCAGGCGCACATCTGTACACAGCATTGCTATCAAGATTAAACGGATTCGGTGCTGTGTCGGCTCATGAGCAACAAGTTAATTAGACTCCTTGGGTGGTGGCGGGGGTGATCTTGCCTGAAACATAGCGGCAGTCTGGAGGGAACCACGGCAAACTCAGCTCGCAGTCGACGGTGCATGTCTTGGACAGCACAGATCGTACAACTCGTGCACTGCAGATTCTGTTCAGATCATCATGGAAAGCCAAAACTCCAACTCCCGCAGGAAAGTCCTTCAGCTTCAGCATGCTTTGTGCTGCGTGATCTGAAAATGTGTGCCCAGAGCAACACCCGGGCGAGCTTTCCATAGAGCGCTTGTTTGGGAAGACGCTCGCCCTGCTGCTCCTCTTCGAATTCGTTCCGACCCTAGCCCCTAGCCCTAGGTCAATTCCAGTGGCTCCGCTTTCTGCGCGGACTCTCCGCGCAGCTTTGCTTGCGTCTTTCGGAGCCGCGCTGCAGGAGCTGCCGAGAGGCACAGCTCGGCGATGAGCATCTCCAGGTGGCTCAGAGCCTCACACGCAAGGCGGCACAGCTCGGCTGCGGCTGCGGCTGCGGGCTTTGCAAGGCCATACGCGCTGTTTCTGTCCTAAACTCGGAGATCCCCTTGTCTCTAGCAATCTTGTCTCAGCGAACGGAGCCGACCGGTGCTTGATTGGACACCACTCTTACTGTTGGCCCCACGGAGTGTGTCGATCCTACCCGGCAGGGATCGATGGTAGCCCGGCAGAGACTAGAAACCATGACAGATAAATAGCAAATGCGACGGAAATCGGGCAAGAACTTCGCTGAAGGAGAGCAACGCCGAGGTCGAAAGAGTACATGTGCTGGAAGATTACTCCGCCGCTCCATGGACTGAGGACCTTGAACATCAGCAGGAGGACACCTGACTCCGATGACGGGGAAAAGCACCTGCCTCGGCCTCGTTCGCAGCGCTATCATCACCACCAAGCAGGTCACCATGGACGATGTCGTTCTCCTGACGATGGGTGACGTCTCTGCTTGTTGGTTTTCTTGTTGCTGTGGGTGCTGCTGCCTGTTTTTGTCTTTATACGTGGTGTTCTTCAGAATCATGCGCAACACTATGATGCAGAGCTCGGAAGACGTCGGACGCCTCGGCCCACAGAAGCGACTTCTCCAAATACCTGGGACGAGCGAAACGAACGCGGGGTTGCGAGGCTTCGGCGCTGCCTCAGCCCTACCCGCGCAAACCCTGGAGGCTTTGGGCTAGACTTCTGGTGCTGGCAGCATCGCTGAACGCAGCCAGAGCCACTAACGTCCGAATCATGGAACGGTCGTCGTCATCATCATGGTCATAACAATACTAATCATCATCATCACCGTCATCATCATCATCATCATGTTCATCCTCGTGGCTATCATCTTCCTGATGGCAGTTGCAACACTATTGATATTCACAGCAATGAGCAGAACATAGTAATGGTAACAAGCATCGTCACGGTCACCAAATCCTTGTTGGCGATAGCCATGCTCAACACAGCTGTCTCAAGTCTTGTCTCCTGCATCTTGGAGGCACCTTGTCTTTCTTGTCTACTACAATGTCGGGTGCAAACCCGCAACATCGGCACATAACATTCGAAGCCCGCAAACCCTGCTGGAAAAACCAGTTTTCTGAGAAAACATGCAGGACACACATGTGTTTGGTTGCTACAGGCACAATCCAGTGGGTGCCGAGTCACTTCCCAAGATCCAGCTGGGCTGCTTCGAGGAATTCCCTCAGCCACGCCTTGCATCAAGGCCGATGTAGAGACCCCGTCCCAATTTATGGAGCTGACATCTGATTTCAACGCTGAATGGGGTGGCGGGGTTTGGCACACTTCTAGCGGCTGCAGAGGAGTGCAGCAAAGTGCTGTCAGAGCTGGCATGTGCAAATCGCCCGCGTTCAAAATCGGACGAAGTACGACTGTTCTTTGTACGTTGGCAAATCGCATTGTAAAAACACAGTCTTCGTTGTTGATGATGACGATGATGATCTAGGTCCTGCCTGCGAAGGTGGCACGTAACTGGGCCGCCTTGGCCGCAACGCCGCCTGGGAGTGGTCACCTGGAAAAAGCACCGAAGATTCGGGCGGAAGCGGCTCATTTCGTTTGGGCTGTGCTCCGAGAGCATGGGCTTCAAAGGTTCAGTTCTGTTAGACCACAGGTTAGGTGCCTTCCATGTTTAGGATTAATCGGTGACACTCAAAAAGGCAGCCTGTCTCAAAGCAGTGCCAAAGATCAGGAGCGATTCAGGAACGAAGCTGAAACGCGCAAGCATTCTGTGTTTGGACGTCCGTAGCAGCGTCTTTCAGCATCAAACAAGCGATGGGTCGCCAAGCCCTGAACCCTTAACGGATTGGTCGGCGTTACCCAAACTCTGAAACTGAGATGTGGGTTGGCAAGCCTCGGACCATGAAACATAGCAAACTCTGGACCCTTAATACTGGTTGCGTTGAGCAGCAGCAGCAGCAGCAGCAGGTTTTCGGAACGCTCGTCGTGTCCAAAGTGCCGTCACCTCAAATCCCTTGGGGGCGGGGGAAAAGGGGGGGGCGGGTAGCGGCCTGAAGAGCCGCCTGAAGAGGCCGAGGGTCCTTTGCCCATCTCCCGGATCAGCTGCTCGAGAGCCTCGGCCGGGGATGCTCCAGACGGGTCTCACAGGCTGAGGCTAAGGAAGCACTCTTTTTTTTTCTCGACTCTCTTTTTTCGAGTGTCGCCTCAAAGCGCTCGGCTTCCGAAGGCTCCTCCTGCTCCACGGGCCGGCAGATCCACAGATACCTGCCGGAGCTCCGCGGGTCTTCACTACAGGGCCCGAGCTTTGAATGGAAGTCGGCTTTGTATTAGAGCAAGTTTTTGCGGCAGGTTTCACCATCAACTCGACGACAGTTTGGGGGGTGCACGAGTTTTGGGATATGCTGGATATCCTACCAGGGTCGTTTGGAAAGACTTGGGTTGCGGCTGGGTTGAGGGACTACCTATAAAAATACACTATGAGAGAGAGTTTTTGCACAACGACGCAATACTCGGAGGTCTCGCGTCTCTCGTCTCGGTGCCTTGGACTTCCAAGCTGGTGGAGGGGTCTCGTCGCCTGCCTCGCGCAAAACCACCTGGCGAGGGCTCAGCACAGCGTGTTGGGATGGAAAACCTGCTACATCAGCTGGTCGCTGTGCGAAGGTTAACTATAGCTGGGAGGAGTTGGACTCGAGTAAGGGACTGGACAAGGCCGGGTGCCCTAAACAATGAACCCGCAAGACCCCAAATCAATGCACCCCAACCGCTATAAATCCTAAAACCCTCTGCCCCCAAAAGCCTCATCGGTTTCAACCATGACGAACCGAAGGAGCCCATGACAAATCGCCGGAAGAAGGCTTGTTTTGGCGCCCGTTTCCAGAACAACGCGACTCTATCCCTGCCACCGTTCGTACGAGCGAAACTGGAGTGCCAACCAACTTTTTGAAGCCTCATCGCCTACCCCGAAGGCCCTGAGAAGCGTGGCAAGCGCCCATACCCTCGAACCGTGAGCACCAAACGAGCCGGAGCTGCTGGAGCGAGTAAAGACCTGCTTTTAAGCTTCAGTGCTTTGGCAACTGTGGCCTAGCATGTGGTGGCTGCTTGGCCACTGGCTTGAGCTAGGAAGTGACGAGCTACTGACAGGCTTCAAGAACAACCACTGCGATGGACAAGGGTACAACATGGCATGTCCTGCCCTCCCAGACACGTTAAAACTTGCAACCTGTGTGCAAAGATCCAAGCCTTTTCTCGACTTCCCTTGCTGTGTTTCTACGCCGTCTGAGGCATTAAATAGACAGCCAAGTGGCAGATCCACCCCGACAGTGCGATTCCTTCCAGGAGGAGGGCGTCTAAGCGTCCTGACCGCAGGACCGGTAGCTCTGAGACTGCTTCGTGACAATTGCTGCCTTGCATACGGGCTTTTATGCTGTCGTAGACGCGTCGTGGTCGTCGTTGTTGTGGTGGTAGTAACCACAGTAGGACGAGGAGTAGGAGTAGCAGTAGTAGTAGCAGCAGCAGGAGCAGTAACAGTGGCAAGGGCAGTAGGAGTAGCAGTAGCAGTAGTACTAGTAGTACTAGTAGTACTGCTAGTAACAGTAGTAGTAGTAGTAGTAGTAGTAGTAGTAGTAGTAGTAGTAGTAGTAGTAGTAGTAGTAGTAGTAGTAGTAGTAATAGTAGTAGTAGTAGTAGTAGTAGTAGTAGTAGTAGTGGTAGTAGCAGTAGTAGTAGTAGTAGTTGTAGTAGTGGTGGTACTGGTAGTGGTAGTGGCAGTGGTACTGGTAGTCGCAGCAGCAGCAGCAGGAGTAGTAGTAGTAGTAGTAGTAGTAGTAGTAGTAGTAGTAGTAGTAGTAGTAGTAGAAGTAGTAGTAGTAGTAGTAGTAGTAGCAGTAGCAGTAGCAGTAGCAGTAGTAGTGGTGGTAGTAGTAGTAGCAGTGGTAGTGGTAGTCGCAGCAGCAGCAGGAGTAGTGGTAGTAGCAGCAGCAGTAGTGGTAGCAGCAATAGTAGTAGTGGTAGTAGTAGTAGTAGTAGTAGTGGTAGTGGTAGTGGTAGTGGTAGTCGGAGCGGTAGTGGTTGTGCTGGCAAAGGTGGCGGTAGTGGTACCACCACCGTGGTCGCAGTGGCAGTCGTGGTAGTAGGGGTGGTGGTAGTGGCAGGATGTGGCAGGAGTATTGGTCGTCGTAGTTGTTGTGGTTTCTACTGCATGTCTGCTTCATCTGCTCTTGGCCGTTTCGTTGACTGCTCTTGGCCTTAGGTCTGACTTGTCTAATCAAAGCAGGCTTGATAATCGCACTCGCAGCATTGCAGTTATATTCACAATCTGTGCTCAGCATGACTCTGGGCATTATCATACTGAGAACTGTTGTTCTTCTGCAATCTGTAACACGGTGACGATATCTAAGAATAAGAAGAAGGAGCATATCCCCTCAGACTTGAGATGTCTTTGCAGGGCACACGCAGCATCAGGTGTCAAAGCGCTTTAGGGTGTCTTTGGCTGCCATTAGTGCATGGAGCGCGGGGCGAGGAAAGGGAAGGAAGACTTGGGCTAAACGATTTATGCGGCCTCGTAGGGAAACTAACCTTCCAAGGAGCTGTGCTGTTAAAGGCTTTGCACAGGAGAAGCTCCGCTAGGTTTTGCACAGTGTCAAGCTTCCAGCTCCTTCGGTAAAGTCCCAGACGGCCATCCCACCCACTGCAAGGGTGACGACCACCAGGACGCCTCATTTTCCAGACTGTAGGAACCCGATGAAGTCCCAGCTGGCTGTTACTTTGCTCGAGAAACGGCTCTGACTCGGAGTCTCATTTTCTGGTGGAAAAGGGATTGGCTGAAGCCCTGGGACCCTGGCCCGGACGCGGTGGATCTGAGTTGAGTCGAGGGAAGTGTGCGGAGTCTGTGGGGGTGTGGCGAGTACGAGTGAAGATTTGCTGCGGGCCGCAACCAACAGGACGAGGCTTGTCCTGGACGCCATGAAGACGTAGAGTTACGGCGTCACGGATTTCGAAATGCCGGAATGCAACCCAGTGCGAAACGTCAAACTTGAAGCCCAAGCCTAGAGCCTTGGTCAGAGACAATAGCTCGGCCACAATCTTGGCCTATTTTGTCTGCGGTTTAGGGGGGGTTCAGGCACACACCCGCAGCCCTTCTGCGACACGGCGCCAACTCGGCCCCGGATCGTGATCTCTGAAAATTCCTTGGCTTCCGCGTTTTTGCGGGGGTGGGGGGATAGGGTGCATCTTGGGCAAGCTAGGAGTAACAAAATGCAGGGGACATAGTGGCTTCGTGTCGTTAGCCTGTACAGTTGGGTGCACCGGTGCTCTTGGGGAGCTTGGGCACGGGAACTTGCGAGGTATCCTCCTTCTGCATCGATGCAGACAGCACTTTCCAGATTGCAGGACCCATGACAGAAACAGAACATGGCTATCCACAAGGCTGAGCGGCCAGGCAGGTCGCGAAGCGTTCCGCACTCAGTGTGCCCAAGACTTTGGCCCTCTCTTCCTGAGGGGGCTGAGGAGTTGAGGATTCCAAACCATCATTTCTCCATGCTAAGACTGAGGACCGGCGTTCTCGCGCAGAGCCACTGAAAGCCATGATTCTAGCGATGAGTGGTGCAGCTCTTTTGCCTTGCGACTGAGGAAAACCTGCCGCCAGCAATGCGGGTCGCGAACCACATGTCCGTTATATCCCTTCCGCCTATTTACTGCTCCGCCTGTTGTTGTCTGAAGTGCGTATTCCTGAAGAACAATCGCGCAGAGGGCAACCGACATGCAGTCACCGCCTGAACAAACGACTCAAACTGTAAGCGAGGCTCATCGTAACCTGCGCCGGTCACGTTGATGAAGATGTTCATTAGCACGACGAAGCAGACGAAAAACCTCAAAGGTCTGAAGCAGAGCCTACAGAAGATTTGCACAGCAGTCAGTCACTGCTTACTCGCAGGTTCCAAATCGGCCATCGGAGGAGGACCGGGGGTTAAGACCCTCCGTATTTCAGCTTGAAGTAGTTGGTAAGCGCGACAAAGGCTTCGCCTAAGAGAAACAAGGCCCTGGCTTGATGTTTATAACCCACGATGTGCCAACACATATGAGTTTTGAATTATCCTGCAAGCCTCCTGACCCACTCCGGTCCGCACCACGGGCATCCTTGAAAGGCTGTCCTAATCACCAAAGTATGCCCAAGAGGCAAGGCTGACACACAGAGGTAGCGCAGCAAATGGTGTCCGTAGTCATCCACATCGTACCTGCAAGGGTCGGCTTATGGTTTGCTACGCAGGGTGTGTAATCGACAGGAAAGCATCCGTAACCATAAACTTGAATACGTCCGTCATCACTTCTCCGATTCCTCCTCTTCAGCTTTCCGACAATATGTCACCAGCAAAGGAATCGCGCTACTGTTGCTGATGGGACGTTTCTAGCTCCGTGCTCCCTTCGTAGAAGCCAGACAATGACAAATCCTGAATCTTGAGCACGACACTTCCGTTGAGGGGTACAGGAGCGTCCGTTCCGTTCCCAAGGCTTGCCCTCAAAACCCTTAATCCCTTACAAGGCCTCTAGAGTATGATCGGCGGCTTCGGATTGTTTCATAGGCTTGCATGGTACATCCGGAACGCTAGCATCAAGTCAGACAGTTGATGGGGCAATATTCCTGCTAAGCGCCGTCATAAGGAGTGTAGTGGCCGTGACCCAGACGCCGAAACACAGGGTTCAAACTGTCCCTAGCGTCGTACAGCGTGCCAAGATGCAATGCAGACTCCCCGATGATGAGGGTCTGCCAGGTTCTCACCGCCACTGGCAGCCTTGAATTTGCTTTTGCGAAAAGCTGTGGCTGCAACTGTTGCTGGCAGTGGTGCGGTTGACCCTGCTTGTTCCGTTTTGGAAAGAACTGTTTAGCTTCTGTTTGTTATCTTGAGCAGCATGTTGCCCACATACACACACGCGCACTCACAAACTTGACAGAAGATGGAGAAATTATGATCGATGTCTATCGCTACCTGCCTCCATCCATTCACCTGCCTGGCCTTTCTACCCATGGAAGTGGAAACGGCGAGAGAGCGAGAGAGGCAGAGAGCGAGAGAGAGAGAGCGATGGAGCAAAGTGGAGATGGAGGGAGGGAGAGGGAGAGAGAGAGAGAGAGAGAGGCAAGAAACATGGAACCAGCGTTCGAACTACTTGAGCAGGGTAGCAAAGCATCCGGGTCTTGGAAGAACTCCACGCAAGCTGCCAAATAGGTGGCAACCAGGACTGACCTTCAATGCGAGGGAGAGAGCGAGAGAGATCTTTTCTGGGGTGGGGTTCTGGCTCAGGCGCTTCCACTGCACAGGATCTAATCAACACCCAAGAGCAAAAGTCCGGAGGACACACCAAGGAATCCAACCAAACATGCCGAGATCTCAACCATGCTGTATCCCGACATGGAAAAGCCATCCCGACTGAATATTGATGATGCTTCGACGGCATCCCACCGTCCCTTGTAAGCGAGCGCCACGGCCAGGAACCAGCATGAACCTGGTTGAGCCAGCCTCGTTATTAACCTCCATTCCCTGGGGCTGTGAGGCCTCAACACCAACTAAGCTTCAGCTGAGCGACGCCAGGAGGATGAGCATGGCCTCACTGCATGGGTGCAAAACCCTGAAGTGCGAGTTGAACTATGAACGACACCTTCCAAAGCACATTTTGGATGCCAAGGCTTCTCGTGCTGTTACAACGAAAACCGGAACCGCAGCCACTGAGTCCTAGGTTCTCAGTGATGCAAACTCTCAACCCGGTCCCGCCCGCCCCTCCAAACTGCAACGATTCCTCCCAAATCCAAATCGTCGTGTGTGCAATTGCCTGGCAGCGCCCAACCGGCAAACCCTGGTTCAGTGCTATGGTCGGAGCTGTTGGTTGCAAGGTGCAGTTCGGCGTCCGAGAACGCTTCTTCATAGAAACAATACCAGCCTTCTATGAAGCACAAAACAAATGGGATCCAGCCGCGATGAACTCGCCCGTCTGTGCTGCACGCCTCGACAGATCGTAGCATTGCGAGGATGCCACTAGGGATGAACTGCCCGAGTAATCATTGCAAGCGTTCTGCTTCTCTTGTGATGGCCACCATGAAGACACGATAGCACCAGCTGCGGCATGTCATCATTATCGTCTTCATCATCGTCGCCCAAACATCAGAAGTATTGATAGTAGTGGTGGCGAGTTAGCAGTGCCGGATGGCCGTTATCGTTATCGTGGTCGTAGCACTCTAGCAGCCACTGTTAAAGTGGTCGTTGTGGTTACGGTTGCGCTTGCTGCTAATGGGTTTCGTCGCTCTTATTGGGATTGGGATTGTCAGCATCCCTGTTCTGGTTCTCTGACGACCTGGGGGTGTTGGGGCTGACTTCTTTCTGTCTTCGCATTTTTCGCACTTCAAGTAAGTGGTCCGAAACCGCCGGAAGGCACAATTCAGTCTCAACCCCTCAGCTCCAACAGCTCAGTGGCATGATTGGCAGCAGGTTGCCACCCAGGGGAAGACCAAGAGGATAGAACCTCAGGTCTCGCCAGGCAGAGTTCAAGCGCAGAAGTCTTCCCGGGCTTGGGCACGCCCCAGGCATTCAAAACAGAGAGCATACTGAGGAAGGCTAAGGCGCAGCCGCAGCTCGTAGATGGTGCCTGAATTTCTTGGCTTCTGCAAAGCCCTCGCGCCTGCTTTTTGCCCCGGAACAAAACACTGCTGAGTGCACGTTTCCCTACGGAGTTTGCAAACAACGTTGTGCAAAAAGGTAATCGGCCCTTCCAAATGCCTCACCGTTGAGAGATGTGGACATTTTTCTCTTACACAGTGCTTACCATTTCTGTGGTTCGCGCCCTTGTAGCTCCGGCTGAACAGAAGTCTCCGAGGCGCCCAGGATGCTGAGAGCCAGGTTGGTGGCCATGGGCGGCCGGAACTCCGCCGTTTCGTCTCCGCCCCAGGTCACTAAGGACATCCAGAGCCCGAAGCCGGCCTCCGAAAGAAGAGCAGAGCAAAAGAAGAGCAAAAGAACACGAGCAGAGAGGAGCTGAGGAAAGCCTCCTTGCAAGAGGGCGCCTGTTAGAGAGGGGTTTTGGCCTCCGAAAGAAGGAAGAAATGACTCCCACGATCCACATCTAAACAATGAAGAGACGGATTAACAGCTTGAAGGGGGTGCAGCATGCACATTGCATGGTCATTGACAGACGGCATGGAAGGAGAATTCCAGCACTTCCACACGTCAGCAGCAGTTCTCATTGCTGTACTGTACGGTCTGTGCAGGGCGTTCAACATCGAATAAATTCGCCACGTGCAAGCCTGCTTAAAGCCCTCCAGCCGCCAGACTGGCCTGCAAGAGAAGTTTGAAGAGTGGTAAGCAGAAGCCACAAAGGTCCAGCAGCACGGTGGAGACGTCCTCTGAGGGCGGCATCTGCAAGTGCATCTTTTCTTTAGCACAGCAGCCCTTTCCCGCGTTTACCAATCACCCCCGCCCGTCCAGCAGCACACAGGCAGTGAAGATGCACCAGCAGGGGCGGACGACGGAGCCGTCTGCAAAGTTCCTGAGACACGTGGAGGAGCAGTGAGCACCCCTCCATACGAAACAGCATTCAGACCCTACTGCTTCTCTACGCATGGTGAAACTTCTCAGGTGGGGTGTCAGGGTCAAACGAAGGCGAGATGCCGCCACCAAACAAGGAGGCTCACAAACTGCAGCATCGTGGTAGACACGTCCAAGCAGCCTCAGGACGCGGCTCTTGGAAGGGGAGGGGGCAGCGCATGAACAAAATACAGGAGTCCTGAGTATAATGCAGCATAACATGCTGCAATCTAGTAATGAGGCGCCATAGGGATCTTTTCCCGGCGTGTAGGAGTTGTGTTCGCACAGGACTTAAAGGATGACTTGTAGCAGGAGCTGCGCAGGTGCTGGGTGTCCACTTCGTAGGTCTAACGACATCCGCACAAGAATCAAGCATGCATGTTTTGGAGCTTCGTTGTCTCAGTTTTTCACTTTACTGTTCCATCCCTCCCTCCTTCCTCCCTCTGCTTTGCATGTGCGTACTCTCTTGTCTTGTGTAGTATCGTGGTGTATGTATGCATGCATGTATGCGAGCCATGCACGTCATGGTGTCTCTACAAACTGTACGAAAAACTTAGCACACAATAGATCCATGCATAAGTACATGAATATGTGCCTAGCAGTCAATCTTGCCGGCCTACTTTTCCAGCATTGGTCCGTAGGCTGCCGCCGTTTTGGCCAAAGCTGCTTGCAGCTCAGCGGCACAAAGGAATGTGTAGCTTCCAGAGGTAGTAGGCGATACCTGAGCAGAGTCAAGGGCCTTTACTTGTCATGAAGGCCGAAGGCAGGGCGTTTGGAGTAAGAGCAGGTCGTAAGATGCAGGATGCCCGCCCACTGTGTCGGGTATGAAGCATCCGACTCTGAGGTAGAGAGAACGGACCTGGAGGCGGTGCCCTTGAACCCGCAGTGCCTTTGCAAAGCTCAGCCTGAAGCTCGCTGTGCTCACCCGGATTGGGTTGAGACTAAACTGCACTGCTTGATCTGCAAGAAAAAGTTTTGTGCACTCGTCGTCAGGTCGTCGTAGATCCCGATGGAGCTCCATGCTTGGCTTCGTTGCACATGAAAGCCAGTTTCTTCCGGTATCCCTGCTCTTGATTGATTAAGTCCACAGTACTTCGGTTGCGAAAGTGCAGCTTTGCAAAGCGTAGACCCTGAGCGGTAGGCACCTTCAAGGCATACGGAATCATTCGAAAGTATTGCTGCCCCTGTAAGGCCCTCAACAATGCGACAGCTTCTCCTCACTGCAAGTCAATTGGGCAGTCGAAACCGTAGCAAAGGCAAAGGAGTAGTACCTACTGAACAAACGTGTACTCGCTGCCCAGATTTTGATGCTCCTCGAAGCTTTCGCCCCAGGACATCGACGTCAGACCGGAGACCCTCCACGTACCACACCCTCACCGCACTCCCAGGCAACACCCCCTCGCGAGCCTCGGAAGGCGAAACTCTCCCTGAAGATCCCTACGAGGTGCTCCTCAGGGACAGGATCTTTCTTCAACAAATTCATGGACTTGGGACGAAAGGTTGGTGGTTGATGGAACGTCTTTGGGGAAGTCCGTGTCGATGGCGCAAAGCTCTGAACGGAAAAAAAATCTGGGCAACAGATAGAGCCAAGCAGCAGCCAGCAGTCAGGGGGCTTTCGGCTTTAGGATTTAGAATACTTCAAGCGGCTCCAATGCAACCGATTCCACGAATACTGAGGATGTCCCCTCGGCAGCTGGCTCTTGCTACATTCGTCGAGGGCGGAGGGTGAGAGCGCAGATTTTGATAGAAGAAGGCCACTCTCCAGATGGTACCCCGAGTCATCCCCACTTCTCCTGCGGCAGAGCCCTCATGGCTTTGACCACATCCATTCGGATGACGTTCGGATACCGAAGTACGGTGATGGCGCAGTCATCGGCTCGCCTTTGAAGGGAAGACAATAAGCGAGACTTCTTGCGCATGCGATTGGCCCAAGCCATGCCTTTGATCGGGTACCGCGGCCCGGAGGATATCGCAGAGCTGCAGACACAGCGACTTGCTCCCATCAAGGCCAGAGAGCAGCCGCCTTGGAGGAGGGCGGGAAGGCAAGCATCACGGGAATGATGAATCTTTTTGTCTAGCTTCGCCAACATCGCCCAAGAAACGGTGGTGATCAGAGCTTCGAAAAACGCTCTCTCCCAAAGCCCTGAACTTCAAGCACCATAGCTGCATCTGGAAAGGCCACAGATATCAAAGGCTTGTCGAGGCACCGAAGAGAGCGTTTCGACGTTGGTGGCGGAGCCAAGCTGTTGGCAAAGTTCCCCTTCTCCCACCTCAAAGAGCCCCGCACAGCTTCTTATCACATGTTGGGCCTGGGGCGAATGTGTCGCGCTGGGCGTGCCGGCTTTCACAAGGCATGCCCAGGCATCTGCTCTCGAGCTAAGCGCTATGGATTCTAAAGTTCTGCTGCTGGTCTGCGATGTCAATCGACGGTCAAGCAGCCCGCAAGTAAGGATAGACAACATCCTACTTCGGTGGGACCACCAAGGACTTTCGCTTGCAATCCCTGGGATTGGATCAGGAACTTTCTCCATGGTAGCTTGGGGCAAGGGCCGCTCTGTATCCTGACCTCTGGGCCCCGAGCCTGAAAGCGACAGACCGTGAACAGTCGTCCAAGCCGAAACCCCGGCCTCTTGCACTCCGAATATGCGACGTGCTGCGGCTCCTGCACGGACTCTTCAGACGAGAAATCGAATGCTCCAAGCAACGTGCGCACGTCGTTTTCCGACGGCAATACGAATCCGATTGAGGCACTACCAGATTCAGTGTGCTAAAACAACACACCAGATCCAGCAGTGAGATGAAAATGACGGCAATTAGAAAGCAGCAAGACTCCCGAATCTCTGAAGCCAAACACAACTGTAACAAGCAAACCGCAGCAGCTTGCCACAACACACACACACACACAGTCACACAGTCACACAGTCACACAGTCACACACACACACACAGTCACACACACACACAGTCACACACAGTCACACACACACACAGTCACACACACACACAGTCACACACACACAGTCACACACACACACACAGTCACACACACACACAGTCACACACACACACACACACACACACACACACACACACACACACACACACACACACACACACACACACACACACACACACACACACACACACACACACACACACACACACACACACACACACACACACACACACACACACACACACACACACACACACACACACACACACACACACACACACACACACACACACACACACACACCACACACACACACACACACACACACACACACACACACACACACACACACACACACACACACACACACACACACACACACACACACACACACACACACACACACACACACACACACACACACACACACACACACACACACATCCCGCACTATACTGCGCTACATGCTGCAAGCCTCGTTTGCATTGCGTCTGCTCCCCCCTTCTCAGCTCTCTGTTTGACCCAACTCCCTCCCCTGCTCCCTTCCTGCTTGTCGAAGAGGCAGGTGCTTGTCAGCGGGAAGCGGTTCGAATCTGCCATGTCGGGGACACCGGCCTGTGAATCCTGAGCAGAAACGCAGCAGCTTCTGGTGCGATCGGTGTAAGTGATGCTGAAAATTTCAGTACTGCTCAACCAAGAATGTGTTTCTTGCATCTCTTAGGGTCGATGGGACGGTACGGCAAGGCTGAGGGTACAGGCTTTGTTGGGTACCTGCTGCGGAAGTTCAGCTTTTCCGTGCAATGTCCTGGGCACTGGGCATAGTTGCGGGGATGCTTTCTTTTCAAGCCCCGGAGCACATCAGTGGCCCAATTACGACCACTCGACTGCTGGCAACAAGCACATGTCGCAGGCTTGATAGCTAGGAAGCGGAAGCTACCAGACAAGCAAGCCCGATATCTACAGAACCACGGATCTGCTCGCTCCCCAAGCACAAGCAGACGGTTATTGACAGATTCGGGGGTCGAGAAGACGTCCAGCTGTGGTTGGCGCCTTGTGAATGACCTCTCGGAATGCAAGGGAAGCCGCAACTTTCTCCCAGTGATTGTACTAGTTTTGCAAGGAGGGAGAGGAGACTAGTTCGTGTTTGGTTCCAACGTAGTCCCAATCTTTAAGTTCAGGGGGGGGGGTGCGCTCGACTTCAAACAAGTTGTGAACCGCGACGATGAGCTTTGCAACACCCAGTGATTGCAGTGGTTAGCTACTTGTCATTGACACAGGCACTTCTGCGAACTATGCAACCGTGAACCTCTGGATATTCTCCGGCCCAGAAACCCCCTCCGCAACTCTGCCCGAAACAGCCTGTCCGAAGCTCTGAGCTTATCAATCTCACTCGAGATGAACCTGGGAGGGTTTGGGATGAGGTTGCTTGCGTAAATCTTGGGCTCTGAAGGAACACCGATCCCACGCACTCGCACTCCTGGGACGCCCTCAGGCCTTTATCAGAGCTTCCATCATCTCCTTGTAGTTCTGTGGGTTCCTCAGCAAAGGAATTCATCAGAGAGAAGGGCGGCGCCAGCCGTGGATATGCCGGCAAGGGTTTGTTGAGAGCCAAAACATGCTAAACTTGAGACCTGTTTCGGGCCGAGGGTTTGTTGAGAGCCAAAACAGGGTAAAATTGAAGCCCTGTTTCGGGCCAAGAGTTTGCTGAGAGCCAAAACATGCTAAATTTGAAGCCCCGTTTTGGGCCAAGGGTTTGTTGAGAGCCAAAACATGCTAAATTTGAAGCCCCGTTTTGGGCCAAGGGTTTGTTGAGAGCCAAATATGAAGCTTGGAACTCAGATTCGTGCTGTATGATTGTTGAGAGCCACAACATGGTAAACTTGAAGCTTTTTCTTCGGGCCAAAGGTTCGGTAATGATCTTGAAATTCAGGTTCGGGCCAATGCATTGCTGAGCGCCGAAACATGAAAAAAACTGAACCCCAATTGGCGCGAATGGATTGTTTAGAGTTTAGAGCCAAACATGAAAATCTGGCCGCTCTGATTCGGGTCAAAGGTTTGTTGTGCCGACAAGAACGATGCTAAACTTAGTGCCCGGATTCGTGCCAATGGTTTGTTGAGAGCCAAAACATGTCGAAGGTCATCGTCCATAGCCGCAGTTGTATCGATTCTAGCCTGCAGCATTGATACCTTGCCGGAAGAGTGTGCAACCCGTTCGAAACCCCCGAACACAAACACACTGCAACTTCGTCCCTAAACCTAATTTCGGCGCTGAACACCCTCTGAACGCCCCCAAAAGCCAGGCCGGAGCGCTTCAGCTGCCACCTTCTTTGCTTCATCCCCTCCACCTTCTCGACCTCGGAGGCCTTGAAGATGGCCTGCTGCCCCGTTTGGAAATGCCGGAGTTTTAGGAGGTTGGGAAACAGGCATGCAGCAGTGTCGGAGTTTGGTGCAGGTTACTTGTTGGAGTTAGAGCTGGAGCTTGACTGCGTCGGAAATCCCAGAACCTGCCGCAGAGCGAGCCGAAGCCCTGTACTGTACCTTCGAAACAGTCTCAAAATTTGTCTAGAGTCTAGAGTAAAGCAAGATGCACGGGAGACGCTTCACCCGGCAACTAAGACTAAGATCCAACCTTCTTAATAGGGGGGGGCGATAAATAGCGAGGGGTTTTGGGACCTGTTACAACACTCTATCATATGATGAGCATAATCACAGGGACTAGACCTTGTGGGAGTGCCATTATTGATTCTTCCGACTCCTTTTTCTTACGCCTCATTGCGCCGCTCACACTGCTTCCCGCCTTCTCCAGGCAGGCCCTTGCCTCCTCGTGCTTCCTGGGCTCAGGGTTCGCTCAGTTGGGGCCGCGTTTTGGGGTTCGGGGTTTGAGGCCTCTTCTTTGTATGCCGGCGAAAAGTTAGGCCGATGCATCCACCGAAGATGCCAAGCCACAGCACCTCGCGAAGAACGAGCTCCACCCTGCAGGCCGAGAAGCAACGAAAAACTAGAGTCCGGCTGTAGGGGAGGGTTGAAACAATTGTTCGTAACTTGCAGGCTCTTGCGTTCCTTTCGCACGGTCGGTTGTCTTAGACAGTTTAGTTGAGGAAAGCGAATGGTGATCATTCACGGGGAATTTCAGTAAAGCTATGTGGACCGTGTTGACGGTAATGGCAGCAAAAAATGCTTGAACATAGCGCGGCACGCAAAAACCAGTAGGCAAACAACAAGCTGAAAGCCGTTCAGCCGTTTGCGAAATCTTCGAGCAGCACCAGCAACACCTCTGCAGCCGTGCATCAAATCCATACTCAAGCTGTTTGTCAGTCGCAAACAGGTGGGAGCCTTTCCGAAGCACGGGAACCTTTCTCATACAGAGTGTCTGGATGAATGCCCCCTGAAATCAAACTACGAAGTTGAGAAACTTCCGCTTCACGCGGCTACGTGCCTCATGCCATTCATCTGGTCCAGCGCGCTGCCGTTGACAATGCGAGCAGCATGTGCTACAGTGCAGAAGACATGCCTGGCTCTGGGTTTTCTTGACCAAGCGATGGAAAAATTTAAGAGCATTGCACACGTGACCGTATTGGTAAAAACAGTTGCTTGTAGCGGCAGGAGTGATTCTCACAAAAGTGTGACCATCAGTGATCATACATGGGGTAAAATGTCATGGATGCAGTGATCGTTTTTAGCAATGGCCAAAGAAAGCATGCTGTGTTTCTGAGAGTAGCGAAGTCACAAACTCACAGCACAATGCCAGTGAAGGGCTTGCTCTTGCCTGTCTTCTTGGCTGGCAAAAGATGAGCTGTATTACATCAGAAAGCCGACAGGCGTGACGAAGATACGTAGCTTTAAGACAAGATGGCCACTGTAGTAACACTGAAAACACTAAAATGCGACAATTGTAATCGCATCAGCAGGTGCGGCAGCAGTACGTGGACGCCTGTCTGAACCGCCAGAAACAGTGGAAACAAACGACTTTCAACACGCCGGCAAGACTGCACACAGAAGACCATCGCTAGCTGGAGGCACGAATATGCAGTAAGCAGTTGCAATGCTCATGCAGGGGACTGGGTAAGACTGATCGCGTCCAATATGGCTGTTTATGAGCGTCGTGCCAATCTTGTCATTCCGGGCGTCCAACCACTAGGATGTCACGCGGACAGGCTAACTCGTATAGCAACAGTAACAGTAGCAATAACAAACCTGGTACCCCATGACAACTGCTCAAGCAATCAGGGTGAGCAAAGCCCGACATTCTTCGTGCACAGCCTTGACCCCACGACAAAGTTCTCTATTGTGCCGGACATGGGTTGTGAACGGAAAGAACGATCAACAATGCATTCGAGACTCTTTGACAGGACTCTGGCCGTTGCAGCCGGGCAGTTTGCCTGGACGGGTGGGTCAAGGACAAATTTGTGAGGCAGCTAACAGGTCTGGGGAATCATTGCCACGGACTCCAGGCATTGAAGAAGTTGTTACGGCTGAAAAAATACACTGACCATGCCAAAAATGACTCTTGCTTGAAAGTTGACAGTAGGAAAGCGAAGCTGGGCCGCTAGACCTTCGTAGTTTGTTTCCCGAGATCAGACCCAAGTTTTTGTTCAGGTTTTCACATATGTGTGTATATATATATATATATGTACATGTACAGTTATGTACATGTAAAGATACATGTGTATATGTACACACACACAAATACACACTTGCGCAGGAGACAGCCCCCCGGCGTTTTCGGGCTTCGGGATCGGAGCTCCAGGCCTCGGCTTCGTGTTTCGCCCCCGGTCTGACAAGCGAGGCTGCAGCACCAAAGAAGCCGGAACCACGACTGAGTGTCTAAGAGCGCACCTCTGAGACTATACATCCCTTTGTCCTTGTCCCTGGCAATTTCCATGCCCTAAACATCAAAACCCCTAAACCCCGTTTTCGACCCGACGAGCCAGGACGTGGGGAAGCTCGTCTCCAAGCATCGCCTTTCTCTCGACCAAAAGCTTCACCTGCCGTTGGGAAGGTGAGCGTTTGGGGGTGTTATGCTGCAGTGGCCGTATTCACTGACCCGGATGGAGAGGGACTAGGGCTGTTCGGAGCTGTGTAGAAGTGATGATTTGGGTTTCTGGGTTGCAGGTGTGCGGGCTCGAGTTTTGTGCAGCAGCCTTCGAGAAAGCCTGTGGGACAACCGGAGGGGACGGAGAGTTGCCGTCCGTCCTTCCATGCCTTCGGCAGAAAGCCGAGGGAGTTGTTCCTCTTTCTTTTGTTTCTATGCTTCAACTATCTACAGCACATTTCAAACGACTTACTCATAGTGCAGCCATCCTATGGAACCGATAGAAAACAGCTTGTGCAGGAATTGCCAAAAGCTCCTTGCTTTCACAGTACTTGGAACAATGATCCCTAAACCGCTGCACCTTAGGCCCTGAGAGAGCAAAGCTCAGGTTGTTCCCTGCATGCCCTTCCCCTGAAAGATGTGTGTCGTTGTGTGTTGGGGCTTTATTTCAAAGACATGGCTGCACCTTGGAGCTTCCTTTGGCGGTTGAATGAATCCGTTAATGCGGATGTCTCTTGATTCCTGCCTGCTCCAGGCCCATCGTCAAGCTCGCCAGCTCGAGAACGTTGTAGCCCTGCGCTCTCTGGCCAAGCACCTCTGACGACGATGCTTCACTTGAAACCCGAAAGCACCTCAGCCTTGAATAATTGGGGTTCGGGAGGTTCGTTTCAAGAGGCCATGGCCGCTTTTGTGTTTCATCTCATCAAGCTGGCCTCGGGGTTATGGGGTTCGCACATTAAGGTGCTAAACTTCCCATGCCCAACCCTTGGGAGTCCCCGCACCATGCCTGAACCCCCAGCACGGATAGCATCAAAACCGCGGCCTGCAAACCGAGCACTCCGCAGCCCATATCTACCAAACGGCAAAGCCTAGGCCTAGACTCGAAACGGCTTAAGACCTGTATGGCCACTCAATATGACAAACACCATGTGGAGAGCCCGTGCAGAGCTCCTCTAAGCAGAGTATCAAAGAACCGCCTCCGACAATACCAAGGCACCAGGGGAGCACGATCAGGATGCCAACCATGTCGGTTGACTCCTTCTGCATCTGTGCCTCGGCGCAGACGTTCATACAAGCACGGCGCAGTTGAACTCTCTGGGAAGCACTGGTATCGACTGGGGGCTGTTTCTTGGAGTTGGGGACGACGGCTCCAGGATTCCTTTGCCCAAGCAATTGTGATAATGATGTTATTAGACGCAGATCCCTAGGCCAGAGCCTTCATCTCCAAACGACACATTTCGAGCTTTCTGCTTTGACCAAGCACCTCCCGCGCTGGTGTCAGCTGCATCGAGCAGCTTCCTGATGGCGAAATTCTGCCTTCGCCAAACCTGGACATGGCCAGTCCGCACGGTACCGTACTGGCTTCATGGATATGCCAACACTACGGCCCGCAACATCTGCTGTCACTCCTTGAATCACTCGACACAGTATAACCCTTCGCTCTGCAGACCGAGCGAACCCCGGACCCCAATTCGGAAGCTTGGCTTCAACCTTTCGGAAGACGGGGTTGTGGTTAGGGTTATGGCTGTGGGGGCTCTAGCAGGCTATTAAAGGGGGTGCAGTCGTGCAGCAGCTGTCCAAAGAGGAGAGCCGGACGGAAAATAATTCAGAAGGTTCCGACAGTGAGGGTCCGCGCGCTTCTCCAGCAGCGCTTCCACCATTGGCGGATTCTTCCCAGTCAAGCAGAGTGCAGAAAAATGTCCAATCGCACAGTTAATTCCAATCGGAAACATCTCGTAGGTTGAGTTTGGCTCCGCCTGGAACTCCAGCAGATGCTCCAGAGCCACTGCAACTTTCGTGCTGTCCAGATACTGCACATGCTCTAGGACGAACATGAGGATGGCTCCACAAAAGAGTTTGCCACCTGGAAGAAGCTGTCAGGGCCCAGCTGCTGTGAAGGTGGGCCAGGGCATATTAGTATCAAACATCTCCAAAACCCACAAACTAAACGGGCTTTCAAGAAGTCTTCAGCCTTGCTTGTGTACGGGAGATTGAGCAAGCATGCATACACAACCAGGCACACGAACACATATCTGTGTGTTTACATATATATATATATGCATGTATGTTTATCTCTAGAATACATATACAGATACACATGCTTTATTATACATGTAAACATAGATATGGATACGAGGTACATACCCAGCAATGAATGCCAGACCAGTAAGCCAACAAATACCTGCGTCAGTTATTTGTAACTCACCGATACACTCACACTTACACCCACCGATGCAATTACGCATCCAAGGGTTGCGACGTCGTGCGCAAGCTGCTTCCTAAGAAGTAGCCGACTTTCGAAAACACCCCGAACACGAGCCAACATCAACAGGAGAAAACAAGCTAAGGCACAAACCACAACACACAACGAAAGCAACAGTAACGCACACAGAACGCAACCACATCATGCACAGAAAACCAAACAAACAACGACAACGAAGCACAACGGGAACATTGGAATTTCGCTGGCTGTCCGGGCTTCGAGCTCGGGAACCCCTTTTTGCATTTCCTTCGACACATGGAAAAGGAACAAGAAGCGGCGCAAACGCCATACAACAACGACAATCGCTACAACAAAGCGCCGTATGTGCGACACACAAAAGCAAACAACAGCCTGGTTCGCTGTCCAATCCCGCTTTGGTGACCAGTTGCTTTTACCTTTTCGCAAGCAATCGTTCGGTTTGTTGTCGGAAACATTTAATGTTTTTTTCCAGAATTCGTAGAACTAGGTTCATGAACAACACATGCGCATAACAACATGAAGCAGAAGTATTGCAACAGACCTTCGCTGGTGCGTGAACCCGACGCATCGCAACGGTTTCGTGGCAGAGAGGAGAGGAGCCTCGGAGCCTCGCGGATCGCAGGGTCCTCGAGCGGTGGCGCGGCGGTGGCGTGGTGGCGTGGCTTCAGTTGTGTTTCGTGCGGTGCAGAGGTTGGTGCAGAAATGTTTCGAGGTGCTCACGCAAATCACACAAATCAGTATCAACATTCCCCAACGCAGCAAGAAACCCCAAAGCCCGGCGTTCGCTCCAAATCTGGTGCCAAAGTGGTGGACTGCGCTGACATTGGCAGTGCAGGGGCGTCCTTTCGGCCTTTCGGCTGGAAAGGATGCACCGCGGTAAAGTTCGCTAGCAGTCTGCTCGTAGAGCTCGCCCCGGCCGTTCTTTTGTGGTTGCTCACGGAGAAATGGTGCGCCCCGCTGTGGGCAGCTTTTGACGTGACGTTCTTCAGGGATGGCATTTTGAGGCACAGCGGCCAGCTGCAGCCCTGGGGTCCATGTCCCTGTATCGCGGTGAGGGCCTCTGATTTCTGCTCCATGCTTGCGTAACCAGTTATGAATGCACACGGCTGCCTCCCCAACCCCATGTTTCAATTGATTGCAAGCATAGGCTGCAGCCGACATGGATTCTTTGCCTTTGACAGAGATTTTGGCGCGCACACACACACACACATGTGAAGGTCATATCTCAGCTCAGTGGAAGTGACAGGCTTATGCACCTTTCTGTGGAGACTTGTAGATGACCGGCGTGTGGAGGGCCACCCGAAGCAAGGGAACTCCGTCGGCTTGGGTCGTGGCCTCCTGGTTGCGGTAATCTTCGAGTGTCTGGCGCAAAGACTCCTCTCCGATCGTGGCTGCCATCCATAGGGGAGCAGCCAGCTGCAGGAAGAAGAGGGGGCTGCGCTGAGTCTTTGCATATGCATCCATGGTGCCCAGTTGTGGAAAGTCCTGTGCAAAAGCAAACGGGTGATGGGACACACCTTCCTCAAAATAGGGAGAAAGGAACACAACTACGCTGGAACACTAACACAGATGTCAAAGATCCCTACATACTAAACTTCTGAACTTGATCCCCTCCTGCATGACCCTGGCGATGTCAGGGTCGTCTGGGCCACGGAGCAGGCCTCCAGCGGCCGCCCGAAGCTCAGCAGCCCGATCACCCAGCCCGTGGTTCACGGCGCTCAACGTAGCATCCGTGATGAGCGAACTCAAAAACTCCACGATGCCTCGGCTTCAGGAGGGGTGGATCGTGAGTCAAGCCCTATGGAGTGGCAATTGTTCGCCTCAGATGAGAAGAGCGTATCCTTGTGACGAGACGTAGAGTGCTAGCGCGGGAGATGATTCTAAGCTTGTAAAATGAAACATGCAGGAAATGCACAACTGCAAGGGCGACGACCCCAGTACAATTCGCATCAAGGGATCATGGGACTCAGTAGGCAGGGGTTACAAACATAGTAACTATACACATAATTTTCAAAGAGCCCCAATGAGGGTACTTAGAACCAGACTGACCCTAATTACCATGATCCTCCAAGCAGATATGAATCAAGCCCCAGAGACCCTCCGGCCACTGTGACTCGGCAAAGGGTGGTGGAAGCGTCTTGGCCCGGCCCATTGGGTCGCCGGAGGCGGTGAGAATGCGCTGCCGCCAGTAGAGGTGCGCCTGCTGCAGGCGTTTTGGGCTCTTTCGGTGTCGGGATGCTCTGTGCTCTGACAAGGCGGAAAAGGAAGGGTCGAGCGGAGCCGTGCCTCGGGCAGCGAAGCCTCCTTGGGGCAAGAGGTCAGGGACGCCTCGTTCGAGCGAGCATCCTGGGCTGGGTAGATGGGAACCGCGTGCCGCGTGGCTGTTCCGTGTAGTTCTTGGGATCTTATCCGAAGCGTCTTGGGGGTTTGAAGGCTCTACTAGGCTATGGAAGCTAAGCCAAGCCCAGGAGCGACGCAGCTGCACTGGATGCCGGTGACTTTGGGCCAGAGGCTGCTGGTGTCCAGCTGGACGCGGACTTGGACGTCCGGCGCCGTGCCAGACTTAAAGACCGGGATGTTCGTCAGCCGGTCCTGCAGGGACCATGGCAACAAAAGTTTTGAGGATATGCTTTGTTTACTTGCTCAGAAACCACCCTCGCATGGGGTTACCTGCGGGCCTCAGGCCTCGGGCCCCACAAAAAACTCTGCTTTCCCAAAAACTTGTAGAACATCCTACCGCGACAGTCCCATACAGTCCTTCCCTCTGCAGTGGTGGCTGCAATCAGCGTCAGGGAGCAAGGCAAACACACGGAGCTCCTTTGTGGGGTCGGTCTCTTTCGGAGCTGCTGACTGCTCCATGCCAAGAACCGAACCTAAGACTAACGAGCTGTAGAAAATCGACGCTATAACGCTGGACCCCAAGCTGTGATTGTAGAGCCATACTCCGCTGACCCATACGTCCCAAAACCGTGCACAAGCCCGGAACGGCCCTCCACCTCCCCGGACTGGTGTAATTCTTTGTTGAAGGATGCAGGGTCCCCTAAGCTCTCAATCCCCAAGTTCGACAAATTCAACAGGTATATGTCCATATCCCATGCCCAGCAGTATAGATCTTGATGCCAGGCACCCGAGCCACAAAACGCTGAAACCTGGAGCTCACACCCACCCTGACCCGAAAACTCAAAAACCTCGAACCGCACGGCCTGACACCGCTGAGCAGGCTATTCTAATCGTCTCCTCGCAGACCCGAGTCTTCAGCGAGAGCCTGAGGTGATCGAGATACATCAAACCACAAAAAGAAGACACGAAGGTGCTAGAAAAGGTTGACGGACAAAAGTCTGAGCAATACCACAGGTTTGAGGCACTCGTCGGGGATAAGGCTGACGGCCTAGGACTTGGTTGGCGAGTCTGGGTAGGCTGGAGGAGCGGGTCGGCGGTTTCAGCCGGGCGGTCTCTGATCCGACGCTTGGTCGTGCTTTCTGTAAGGCCTTGGACCTCCAAGTCAGGACAGGGGCTCCAGTGGTCCAGGAATCCCCCAAGGCACCAAAAGACCCCAGGAACGCGGAATTCACGAACCCAGGGTGGAGTGAGGCAGCCGGGCCCCTCGCTCCGCTCTGTATCTGTACTGTACACTTTTAATTGGGCGTGTGAGCCTTGTGGGGGAAGGATGCTGTAGAGATTCTGTAGCGTTGACATCTCTTTCCGTACAGCTACAGGCAGCATCCTACCACCACAGTGACCAACCTGGCCCTGACAGCCGGATCCAAAGGACCCGGAAGACTGTCAAAATCGAGTGCCCTCAGCAAGGGGTCACGCCGGGCACTGTCACTCCCGCGCACTGCCGAACCTCTGAAGCAGACTCCTCCACGCAGCGCAAGCATTCGCGGCCGCACCAGGAATGGAACCAGCAGGCAAACTTACAGTTCTGGTAGGTGTACATGGCGGACTTAGTGAAGCAAGCGGCGCATGGTGACGTCAAACCAGTATGTGAGATAACACAGGATTCGAACTCCTTGGTGTAGAAACCACCATCCAAGCTCCAGCTCTTCCTTTCGCAATACGACACGACGAAGGGAAAGGTGCCCTCTGCATAACCAGGCCCGAAATCATGCATCTTGCTCTCGTCTTCTGCAGTGCAACTTCCGGCTGCCGCAAGAGGCAGCGCCGTTGGCAACTCGCGAGTCGTCTCCGTAGCGTTTTGAAGATTACTACGCAGTCCACCAGCCCAGGCATGCCCAATCCTGGGATCTTGGTCAAAAAGCTTGACTTCAGTTAGCACTTGTGGGATATCGGGGTAAAACCGTACGCTTGCGTAAACATAATTTCTGATGGTAGCTGGTAGCTTAAACTCGGCTCCTTAACTCACCGAAATGAATCAAGAGGCAGGCATGCCAAGGATGAGACGAACATCGGCAAGACGGCAATGGAGGCCATTGCAAACCGGGCAGTGGGGGTCGAAGTGGACACCAGAACTGCTGCTATGCGGGCTTGGAGCACGTGGCAACGTATGCCTATCTCCTGTGGTTTTGAAAGGAATCAACAGCCATATCTTTAACCTGCACTCGCCAAACTCGCCCCCCCAACATCCTGGACTGTCGAGGACACATCCTGTAGCCGTTATAATCAGTGCCTCTGACCCTCATTGCTACAGTATTTGCACCGCTAGTTTCCAACCCACTTTCCCCAGCCTGAGCCCCGTCCCTATAATTTCTTGCTGCGGTCACGTCTACTTTCAGACTGAATCCCCCAAGCCAGCAAAACTTCGGTCCCTCTGGATCAACGAAACCTTGAACACAGCATGCGCACTGTTGCTACTTTACCTCCTCTTCTGCTCATGATGAGAACATTTTCCCCAATCCTAACTTCCTAAGGCTTGCTATCTGCTAGTAGCAATTCGGCAGGTGATAGCAGCAGCAGATGGGCAAATGCGACAAAGGCAAGGGGAACGAATGTATCACCTAGAAGAAATGAAGTCTTTAAGAACATGTTCCCTCTACTCTTCAGTCTGCATAATATTTACTTTCTAAGAGAGTGTGGTCAACGTGCTCATGATGATGCGTCTACACGTTTTGCTCAGTGGCATGGGATCGGAGCAGTTTGGACCACTCGGCTTCATCATCTCCATCAGCTTGTCGTCCAAGTAGAAGGGAAACAAGTCTTGAACCTGACTTTTTGCTCAAACCGTGCCACGGGCTTGGGGCCCAGTTTTGGCTGCAAACTTCAAAGTCGAGCAGGCGAAGTAGGATCGCCAGTTCAAACTTCCTAATTGCAAGCATTTCAGGCTTTCAGTCTGCACTGCATTTAACCACAGCGAAAGAGTGGCTGCAACGAGGCCAGCCAGTCCCTGCTCCGATTCGCCTCTGTGAATCTAGAGACCAAAGAGTTATCAGCATTCCATGCAGGAGTCCACCTTAACAGCCCGGCTCCGCAAGAAGAAAACACCAAGTCTGCCTGGTCTTTCTACCGAACGGCAGTCATGTAATGATGCTGACAGCAACTGCTTAAGCTGCCCGTCGTGCCTCTGCAGAGGCTGCGGCTGCCTTGCCCGGCGATCCGCCCGGCACGGCCTGGTACTGAGATGTCTTGGGGCTTTCGGTACAGGCGGGTGCCCGGCTTCGTGATGCCACAAGAAACCTATACTATATACATGCGGCCATACCTGCTGAATTGGCCAACACTTCGTCAGGTACACAATCTTCTACCCCGTGCGAGTAGTTGTTGCGGTCAACGCTTCGGCTGGAAGCAGGAGACTTTGCAGGGATGTCCCGTCAATCTGCGCACTAGCCGATGTTGAACCGTGCAGGAACTGCATGCCTTGCCGTAGACATGCCTTCACACGCGATCCACATCGCCAAGAACGACTGCCAATCCCGAACCCTCAGGCACTACTCCAGCTTGCCCCCCAAGCTCTGAGCAAATAAGCCTTGGGCGCCTAAAGCTTCGACTCTGAACACCCCTGTCTGAGTCTGCCTCCGTGCTTGCGCGACGCGAGTGTGGCACCTGTTTCGACGCCTTCAGGCAGTTAGGGGTTTGTCTGGTAGTCTGCAGGCCGATGGGCTTGAGGCTGAACAGTGCCGTAAGGCAAAAGGCCCGGGCTCAAATCTCTTTCAACCGCTGGTCAATCCCTTAGATTCGCAAGCGCTTTCGGGCTTGGAGATGGAGCAATGGGTCTGCAAAGCCCGTTGATCTCGGGATTGCGGATGCTTCTCCAATCTAGAAACAGAGCCTCACCCTTCGCTCGCTTGCCACAAAACCACAACAGCAACGGGGCGACCAAGCCAAGTCTCAGAGAAAAGCTCCTGTTACCCGACATCACCTAAAGTCCAACAGTCCGGAAGCCCGAAAGGACCGACTGTGATCCGAGTGAGGCTGCCAGTTTCTGAGAAGCCCAAATGCGAGAACGTCAAAGCGGGCAAGATGCTAATCTCCCCGACCCTGCGAACGCAGTCCCCTGCGCACCCTCAAGGCCAAGGCTAATCAGGAATGCCGCATAAACCGTAGACCCCCCAAAAAGCCACTATCATCAGTTGTTGCACGCTTCATCACGTGCCATGTGCCGTTTTCGTCAGTCTTGCTCTGAGTATCCTCTTCCCTTCCAATGCTCCAACACCCGCTTTGAACCCTGTCAATGCCGCCTGCACTGCGCCCACGGCCCGCGATGAGCTGGCGGTGCTTCCCTGCGAGGGACGATGGGCTCTAAGCTGGAAACTTTTGCAGTCTTTCGGTGGCTTTCGGGCTCAGCGCTTTGGAAACTCACGTTTAGGAAGGCGCGTCCTGGACCAGCTTGTTCTGGGCACTGAGAGTACCATGAGGAGAAAGCACGTCAGAAGCCTGTCAATCGGGCTCGATTCTAGACATCAACTCCTGCTGCTCCACGCCAGCATTACTCATTTACCTGCCATCATGGTTCCACAAGTGTCAGTGATTCCTGGTCAAGCTGTTATGGTATGTCGTCCTGTCCTAGCTGACCTCACTGCATCTTGCGTTTGGCACATGCATACAGAATCTTCGATCGAGTTGCGACAGTACCGTAAGTTACAGCATCTCACATTCCGCAGTGCACTATACTCACATCTTATAACTCTATCGTCAACTTCAGCGCTGCTTTTAGTGTTTTTTGGTAAACTTTCGCCAACTTGTGCAGTGGGCTGCCAGACTTAACAAGTTTGTGGAGGCTGAAAAAGATGGCTGTTGTGGTAATTGACTGTGTTCCTCGCTTGCAGAAAAGTTGGAAACGAAGAAGCAGTTGTCGTATTTCGCTCGTTGCGTGTGCAGGCACTAGTGATTCTCCCTTTAACAGCTGTTCGACTTTCTCGCCTCGCGGCTGCACCGGCTTTCGGGTGGCGGCTGGTGGTGCGCAAGGGACTGAATTGCAGATCGAAGTTCCTGAACCGGAAGACCTGGCAACACCTGGCGCTGGATGTGCCGATTCAAAAACAACGACGGCCACGACTGCTGCTATTCTTCCTCTGCTTCCCTCCAAGTGTGAGTCGCCGGCTGCAGTTTGTTTTGCTGGATTCTCATTTGCGACCGCAACCTGCCTGCTGCATGGGCCGCAATTCTTCTTCCCGCAGGCGCGCCTGCTTCTGAAGCAGGGCATCTTGCATGCCCAAGGGCACCACGTTCGCCATATAGCTAACTGTAAACTCTAACCTCCATGAGGCTCGGAAGTTCAAGACCCAAGACATGCAAGAGCCTGCAAGATGGTAGTCAACAGTTCGGGCTCACACGGCATTCCATGTCTACAGTCCAACTGACTGGGCTCCCGAAGTCCGAAACAAGAAACCCAGACCTGCGTTGCATCCAGCGCGGGGAGAGTGCCTGTGGTGAGCAGGGCTGGGTCCTTTCCGGTTGGTGGGCGGCCTTCGTTTCAGGGAACTCCTCCTTTGATTTCAACAACAATGCGAAGCGATACCTAATGCAGGAGTTTACGGCTTGCAGGGTTGAGCATTTGGAGTGTCTGCCTGCTGTAGGATCAAGGTCAGGCATTTCATCCGTGCTCCCAGCTGCAACAAGCTCTTGGGACCTTAAGATTCAGCGTAATTGAAACATGAGAAGAGGGCGTTGGTTAGAGGTTGTATCGATTCGGGTTTCGATCGCGCCTTTCGGCATGCATGGCTTGGCTGTCCAAAGGTTTGTGACTAGGAGATCCCGCCCCTTCCACTAGCCCCTGCGCTGGCCGCCACCCCGAGCATGAACTCGAAGGAAAGAGGGGGGGGGTCTAGGGCTGCAGAGTGTTAACACTTTAAGCAAACAATAGATCGCAAGACTCAACACCCTAAGATGAACTTTGAGCGGCTTCAGGCACAAGCAATGCTTTAGGGCTGGGAGTCAGGATGAAACGCACTCCTGAAATACGACTGTCATCCGAATCCGAAATCTTGACTTCATCTAAAACCCCTAATGGCCTAATGCCAACATCAAATCTTTCGCGTAGGGCCTCTGGGAGGTGGGGAGGCTTTTGCCGCTCCGGCCGATTCGCGGGACCTGCATGTACCAGCACGACGGTGCGACGCAAAGCACTCTTCTCTGACACTTCACGCAATGCGTGTTGCAGGCTGTCAAAACCAATACGGGTAACACCATGCACCGTCACAATGCATCATGTGGGCATGAGCGGGCGGCATCCATCCTGAGTTCGTGCTGTCAAGTGTCGATGCAGCCTGCGAAAGAAGAGCCTCGATAATGACTCCGTTCGTCGGATAGTTCTGCGGTATGGGCTCTCGTGGCAACTTACAGCACTAAGCTGCAGAAGCTGCAAGGAGAACAGCGGAAGTGTACAACTCATTTTTGCGAGTCTCCTAAGAACATCGGACTCGCAAGGGGCTTCACCACCCCTCCGACGGCTTCTCTGCTGGGCGCAAGCCTTGTCATTGTAATCGTGCGTGGCGAGCGATCCTTCATCGGCAGGGGAGGTATGGTGCTGGATTTCGGAGCGAAGTCACCCCACATGTCTAGGACAACGCCGCAACGGAACAGAGGAAGGAGACCCCCCGCCACATTTCTAAGCTCTTTTGAACCAAAACCCTGAACGCCCCAAGCAAGGGGTCGAGAAAAAGCTTTAGCCGGCCTGCCGGTCGGGTGCCGGCGCCACCTTGCGAGCCTGCGCAAGTACGGAGGCTGAAGCTCCCGATCCCTGTTTCGAGCACCCAAGTTTTCAGGTTCGCATCTGTGTGACAACGGCCCGCTGGCTCATCGCAGTGACGAAAGCGCATCTCTCCCAAAGGGCTCGGAACATGTCACCGAGCAGCCTCCGGCATTGGCGCCGGTCAAAAGAGTTGGCCCTGGCAGGGCCAGTCTGCGTAAGGCATAGGCGATTAATAAGTCATGTCCGTTCGGTTTTATGAAAGTGGCTGGCTACCCCCCAGAAATGACCACAACACACCAAAGCTCAAATAATTTCAATAGCTTCGAGCCAAAAAAGTAATGACGATCCAGCTCCCCTCGCCGCATCTTTCATTCGCGCAACGTGGGGCAACACTTGCCGTCTACAGCTTACTGCCAAGACCCTCTCGGCAAGAACGCCCTGCTTTCCCGGATGCCAAGTTCAAGGGTCGCATTCAGACTCCAAACAACCTGAGCACCAGAACTCAACCCCCGTAGAGCAAAATCACGTTTCCGAGCTCCGAGCCCGGGTCTCAAGAGGCAGACTCGACTTTGGAGCCTGCTACAAGCGAGGGAGCACTGACTGCACCGAGAATGCCCAAGAAATAACCAGGAGGGTTTCCAAGAACATGGCAGGGCCACTTGCTCACTGGAGAGTAAGTCGCCATGATGGCAATGACAGCACCGTGCCAACAAGACCGTTACCACAGATATGTCCTGAAAATCCAACAGCGAACTAAATTGACACATGTTTCCTTAACTACTCCACGCCCGTCGCCTGTCTCCGCAACCAAACAGCACTGAGGAGCCATTCGGCACAAAGCTGGCCGTGTGTGTGGGTGTGTAGGTGGTCAGTGATGGGAGTGTCTGACTAGGCTCGGGTGAAGGGGCTACGTTGCACGAGGCATGCAGTAGCTTCGACGTAGCCTCCTTTGTTTGCCACATTTTGTTGTGACTTCTGTTTCTCTATTTGCGTTCTTACTCTAAACATGACTCATCGCTTGTACTGAGCTCAAGGCTTAAGCATAAACCGCGACGGTCGTGCTGAGATACTACTTCAGCATTCCTTCGTGCTGCGACGGCCTGGGCACGCACTGGAATCCTCGGGCTCTTGGGCTTTCAGGTGCAAGTCCTGACTGTAGCTCAGAGGGTCGGGATATTAACGAGAGATTTTGCCACTTCCATCGCACAACTTTGCGTTACATTGCTTGGAGAACTGTGGTGCCTACGTGATTGATGCCAAATCCCTGTTCCTAGTGGCAGCTGGGTTTGAAGTCCCAAAATTGTGAGAACGGGCTCTGAGACTCTAAAGTAGACTCTTGAGCATCGCACAGCAGTTTCTCAAATACTTTATGCTCCACGCCTTGCCGCGCGTGGGCGAAGGGTGAAGTCAGGACCCGAGGCAGCACTACCGCCGGGACTAGGACAACAGGGCCTGTCAGCACTCGAAACTTACTCGCCATGCTCCACGCTGCTGATCGCACGGCCCTGAACACGTCGACGCTTAGGACGTCTGAAAGCAAAGCAGCACGCTCAGAGACTTTTCCGCGGCTTCGTTGATGCGCTCTCGCATGTGAGGATTGCCGAGAGACGGGGTGTTGATCATGCCAGCAACCTCGAAGCCCAAGATCCCTGATGACTGCACTGATTGAAATGGGCCTGCAAAGAGATGCTAAGGGCCCGAGGAGTGTTTCGAGCCTCAGGGTCTAGCTCGACTCTTCGTAAAAGGTTAGCTTTATTGGCCAATGGATTTTGAGACTTTTTCCACGAAGGAGTTGAACTGGATGGAACAACTACAATCCAAGAAGACTCATGTTTGGGATATGGAGATATAGATCTTTCCATGCATTGATTACAACGCTGTCTGATCTAGGCTGTGGCGGAAGTGAAGATGGCAATGCTCGTTCTCATTCCGACAACTAAAGGGCCTGATCAACAGCCACTGCGTGTGACAAGCAGCACTGTACAGCCAAGCTTAGCTTGTGCAACCTCTCCGTTCGTAACTTTCAAATCAGGGCCTAGCTTCATTGGTAAAAAGCTTCGCTAAAGTACGTATCTCCACAAAAGCTTAAATGCGGTACCTAGCGTCTTTCCCAGTCGCTTCGACAAGTATTCGCCCCAAGAGGGCGATTGATTGCATGATGACCAGCAACAGCCTGAAGATCGGCTACCACCACGGGTGGTTTGTCACATGCTGAGACTTCTGTGATCCTTTGAATCAAAGGGGCGGCCCGTTATTCGAATGCTACTTCTGTGCATAAACTGATGACAGCCCGTCAGTGGCCCCTAAGCGCTGCTGGCATATCCAGTTCCACCTCCCAGCTGCGACAGATTCGGCGCGGCGACGTATCATTCCGCGATTCGCTGGTTGCGCGGGGCATTGCTTTGGGCTTTCGCTTGGCTCGCACGAATTCAGCTTCATCCTGAGGCCACGAAGAACCCGTGGAGCCCTCCGCCTTGAGACGGGCGCCGCCCGGAAGAAGCGGCCTGAGAGCGGCGGTTTCTGCAAATTTCGTGCAAAATGACTTTTGGCTTTTGGCAGTTGAGGCGGTGAAGGCATGTCCTCAACTACGAGTACACAGTACCTACTGCTATATAAGCCCAGGGCCACGAGCTAAGCAAGCAGGAAAACTCAATTGAAGAGTCTCGCCGGGGTGAAGGAGGCATTTAATTTCCTCCCTCCCAACAAGTGCCTCTTCTCAAACTCCTGATGTTCCCTTCAAGCAATAAGCCCCAGAATGGACCCCCTGAGCATGGTTCAAATTGCTGCTCCAATGCATGCGCGTTCGTCACAACCTAAAGATTTCTGACAAAAAGATGGGTCCCCCCTTTTGTCCCCCTCCCTCCCCACCCCTCCCCTCCCACACTGCGCTCTTCTGCTCGGATTTGTGTGCCTCGGCCTCTGTGTGTCCCGATGCAGATTTGGACGGCTGGAGGTACTGGGTAGCTCCGTTCTCAAACTGTTGACATGTACGGTCCACCAACTTGGTTGGGTATCGTCGCTGAAGATGAGTCGGGCCTAGAAAATCAAACGTAAGTGCGTGAACATGCTAAGCTGCTAAACCCTGAACTCTCAGGCTGACGAGTCCCTGAACCAAGATCACCCACAGTAAAGAAGCCATAGGACAGTACCGATCTGGGCCCTGAGCACCAAACACCAAATCGCCTAAACCCGAGCTCTGAAAACCTATGTCCCATGCCAGCACCCCGTAACCCCAGGCCCTAGACCCCCCAAAGCCAAATAAAGCAAGGCAAAGGGCCCCCAAGCTCGCCTCGGTGAGCTTCTCGAAGCCCTGGGCGGCTTTGGAGAAGCCCAGGGAGAGCCCGGAAGCGACCTGCGAAGAAGCGAAGCCCAAGGCAATGGCCCTTGCTTGGATCTTTTCATCTTCCTGTGGCTTCAAGAACGTCTCTTAGGTGCTTCAAGCCTAAGGCTCCCGTCCGAACTCCTGCTGCAGCTGCTGCGGTTATCTGCGATCGACACCCGTACTCCGGCTACAAGTGCTCAAATCTTTACGATCAGCGCATGCCTTGGAGGTGACGTGGTGCTTCTCTTCCACCTCGTGTGCCTTGCGCTGAGAAATTGAAAAATATCAGAACAAATATTAGTGACTTTCTGCTTGGAAGCAATGGCCCACATTTGCTTGGAAACGAATGCAATGCATCGCATCGCAGATTTCCTGATGCAAGGCGACGGTTTTGGCTTTACTGCGGTGTCTTCGATCCTCTGCATCGAGGTGCAAGACCGCCGTTCGCAGTTCATATCCTATCTACAAGGGTCGGACCACGACGTGGCTCCAACCTGGATCCAGCCTCGTTCGCCCGTGCGAAGACTGCATGCGAGGGCGCAGTTCCCATGCCACACAATTGAGATCCGGGATGGCAAAAAGCAGGGCATGGAGCTCAGCTTGTAAGTTGACGATATTGCAGCGGAGTATCCTGCAGGCCTGCACGAGATCGGCGTAGTGCTCCTGTAGCTGTAGCAGCTTCAACGAATCGGTGGACGACTCAGAGCTTGCTTCAACCTCGTCCTGACTGCTGGACGGGCCATGGTTCGACGACGTCTCAGAGGTACACCCGGTCTCCTGGGTTGTGACACTCTCAGAGTCTCCAACTTCTACTGCCTCAACATTGAACTCTTCCTTGATCTTCTGGTAAAGATGCGACAGCCTCTTGAAGGCATGCTCAGATGCCACCTTCGACACTGATTGCTTGTCCGGGTGATACTTGGCTGAGAGCTTCCTGTAGGCCTTTCTCACCTCCTCCTTCGAACAGCCCTCCTGCAGGTTCAAGGTCCTGTACACCAATCTCCTTTCCGCCTTAAGTACGTCTTTCTTCAGGGACTCCTGCCTCATCTTTTCCTCCCGGAAGATTCCTTGCAGCCATTTCCTCTTGCGCACTTGCATGTAGTCGGGAAGTCGAGCAAGATTATGGACTACCGTCTCCCGACCGTGGGAGAGTTCAGCCCCAATGTCCCATGCATCCTCTATGGCCCTGATGTCTTCAGAACTGATGTCGGCTGGCACAGCACGATTCCGATCGGCCATAATGGCTGCGTAAGCGGTGCGTAGCTGCTGGAAACTTTCTTTGCTGCCGCCCTTGTCCGGGTGGCGCTGTCTTGCTAAGCTTTTGTAAGCCTTCCGAACCTCTTCGTCGGAAGAAGAGCTGGGGATGCCAAGCTCCCGGTAGGCGGCCCGCAAGGACTGATCCTTCCCTCCACCAAAGAACTCTTGGTACCAACCTCGCAACTTCTTCCCTGCCCAGGTGCCTGCAGCTCCACCAACAGCTGCACCCACAAGCTCGGCGACAGCTGAGGCAAAGAAACCCAAAGGACCAAACATTGCAGTGCAAATAGCTGTAGTAGCAATAGCCCCGACAACCGCTCCCGCAGCACCACAACCTGCCTCGATGGCTGCACCGAATAGATTTCGAGCGCAGTCTGTGCCGGAGATGCTGCCGGACCACCAGGCTTTGATTTGGTCAAAGCATTCGGCCATGAAGCTGGAAACGTAGCCTACAACTTGTAGCCGAATGCAACTGAGCATCTGCAGAGAACGCGTCGCGAGCCAGCAAGAGACTAGCTCCTCTGCACCTGCCTGAACAACCGCCTTCATCTTCTCTTGTGGGCTCGTAGCGCTAGAGCCCAGGGCTCGCGTGCTCTTGGCCAACATGCGAACTATGCCTTGGCCACCTTCCGGTGACAGTCCAGCAGAACGGGCGAGGGCATCGGCGATGGGCGTCTCCAGGGCGATCAAGCCAGCGCTGGTGGCCGCAGCAGTGAGATTCGAGCCTTGGCCTTGTCCAAGCTTTGAAAACACCTCACCTAGCGCACAAACTCCCTCCGGGAGCTGTACACCAACAAGCTCTGCACACTGAACCATGGTGCCCACGACCCGGGACACGGCTCGGGCTTTTGCAGTATGTGGATGGAGAACATTGTCCAAATAGACGTCCATGCTGTGATCTCGGAGACCTATGTCTTGCAATGCCCCAAGCACACCTTTCTTGCGCACAGCAGTTGTGACAAAGTCCATGAAAGTGTGCAGGATAAGAACACCACAGTCACCAAAATCAACCTCCGTGGCGCTGCATGGGTGATAGTCCACAGATGTCCAACAAATGCGGCACCGGATCAGCTGCATTGACAAGCCTGTCACATTGCAACACTCCAGACATTTGCATGCGTAGCACCATGGCAGCTAATAGCGAGCAGCCTATATGAGGAGCTCCAAATGTAACGAGCTTTACATGCCGGCCATTCTTCACGCAGAATAATGCGAAGAGTGCGGCCATAGCTCCACCCAAGGAATGTCCAGTGATGAGCCACGTGGCGCCTACGGTACTATGCACGCTCATGGTGTTTGCCAAGTCAGTTGGCCTTAAGTTGGCCAAAGCCTGATGAAAGCCTGCGGCCACTTGCACGGCCACAGGTGCAACGCCCGGATGGGAGACCTCAAAGTTGGTCGTCGCCACAGCAGCCATGTCCTGCAGTCCGTTTTCCAGGTTTTCTGTGCCTCGGAAGGCTATCAGGGGCTCGCCTGGACGACATATTCTGATGAGGGCCTTGTTGCTGCCGCGGCTGTCTTCAAAGACCAGTGAGTCATCACGAGCACCGCTTTGGTAGGCCTTTGCTGCCCACGCCGCGCAGACTTTCCATGCAGGATCACACATGGTGAAGGCTGTCAGCGGCGTCGAGACGCAGCCCGTCTCTAGGCCTCGTGCATGAAACGGCCGAAGACATGCCTCACCACATCAGAACCATTCGACGGATCAGTGCATTCAGTGCTTGCATTCCTGCGCTGATGCTTCAAGTTGCAATGCAAGCACACTGGACCCTTACATAGAAAACACACAAAGCGAAGGTGACCACCGAAGTCGTCGCAGAACTGGCAAAGGGTCTCAGAGCAAGCACCCTGTAAGAGCCACCTTCGCCACTGCAGCAGACATGCCTTTGGACACCTTCACAAGGCACGAGGGCAAGGCTTCGCTTCGCTTCGCTTGGGCAGCCAGGGTTTGTGCAGAGCTTAGGGTTCCAACGACCTTCGCTCTTCGGTGGCTCTGCTTGCAGTGTGACTTGCGAAGAACAGTCAAGCTACCGCCTCTCGATAATCACACTCAGACGGGGCGTGGGGTTTGGATCGCTTCTTCGAGACGACACACACCTTCTGGAAAACCAGATTCCTTGTGAACCAGTTGTGCTGGTGGTGGCTTTTGACGAAGACTTGTAAAGGACGCTTGCGGAATTGAAGTCGACGGTTCGGATGGCGAGGTAGTGGGGTGCGCGCGTGTCTCACCATCAGGACTCACAAAACCTGCGAGGCCGTATGTTCAGAGTCGCTTGTCTAGCGACGCAGGCACCCGTCCGCCTTGTCCATGATGCCGTACTGCTGATTGATGGTGCATGCTGTTTCGACAGCCTGCCGCTGGGCAGGCTCAGGCAAGCGAGACTCGTTTGGGCTATGGTGATGACGTGAGACACTGCCTGCAAACCCAGAATCCGAATCCCAGCAAAACATGAACCAATGCCGCTGTACCGTGGCCTTTGTCCCAGCGTGCGCCATCTTTCCTGTGATGTCGTGCTCGCGGTCGATCTCACGTGCCTGTGACTAACCCGAGAAGCAGGAGGCTTCGAGGAACAAATTTTTTCCGGGCACCGATATCAGCCTGTCGGGATGTCAAACTGCCTCAAACCCTAACCAAGCCGCCTAAACCTGAGGGCATATATCTTTTTGTGCATCCACTCCCTGAGCCAGGGGTTTAGCGTTTAGAGTGTTTCCAGGGCTGCGGGTGTCGTGCTGCGCGTTTACAGTGCAGAGTTCAGGGTTAAGTCGACATACACTGGACAAATTTGCAACAGATTTCCAAAACGAAATACGGATAATACGGGGTGTCAACCTACGGAAGGGGTCGGGATTCCATCTGTCCATACAATCTGACAGCCCCACTTCGGGTGGAGACCTACGGACCCCTAGTGTCGCGGAGCCTGATCTTAAAGTTTCCGGCTGCAGCATGTGGAATTTGACTGCCACATTCAATCCGCAAGTGCCTGTCTGCACTTTTGTGAAGATCTGTGACTGCAACTGCCGTGCCATCCGGATGTGGTTCTACGACAATGGCGACGACTCATGTTCTACATCTATGGCACGAATATGATCATAAATACAACAGGTAGACACCGCGTCAACAGCAACAGATGCACGAGAGTTGAAATAACTACAATGCCTCTTCTACCATATCAAAACCCTGAGATTAAAGGGGAACGGCAGTCACCACTGAGGAGGCTTGTAGCAAGAAGGTTTAATACTGCCAGTGCCCCCTGAGAATGCCATGTGCTGCCAAGGCGAATCATCCCGCCGCCATGTGATGTAAAACTTTGAAACGGCCTTGTCGACGCCTTTGAGTGCCATGGAGCCAACCCCGCGCGCAGCATCACCAATCTGCCAAGACAGGATTTCATCAGGCTGCATCAGCGCATGCTTCAAGCTTCAAAGCAGCACTCGAAAACCAGAATCTAGATGACCTTGCTTCTACTGCCGCTGCTCGTCATCGTCGTTATCGTCATCGTGTTGGTCATCAGCATCGTCATCTTGTCCTTCAGCGTTTGTGTTAGCACTGAAACATCTAACAAGAAGTCCCGACAACATCTCTCGTCATCGACCTCACCTTCTACCAACATCAACTCACTTGGGCAGTGCATCCTCGCCCAATGGGGAGCTCGCTGAGGACTCCTAAGTTTCGGAGCTCAATGTTTCGGGTCGGGTTTCAAGCGCTGAAGTCGCCCAACGTTTTCTGCATGTGTGCGGACAAGTTTCACTTTGGAACATGAAAACGATAGCTCATTCGATAGTGAAGCCTTGTCCTGTAAGCTGTGACGGCATATTTGGGAGGGGGGGATGCAGAGGCCTTGTCTGAACGCGTTGCAGCCATGCCAGCCTTTGCTCCAGTGGTAGGCTTGGAGCCCGGGGCTCAAGCAGAGTGTAAAGGGTCCTTTCAAAATTACATTGGGAACCTTCTAATGGGTTCAAGATTGCCGGGCTGGGGGCTTTGCGAGTCTTGGGGAATAGGTTCACTTAAAAGGTGGACGCTGTCGTCTAGGCTTCGCGATAGTCTCAATTGCCCCCGCAGTCTTGCTGGCCATGACCTCTAGGTTTACTATGGCGAAGATAACCGAGCTTCATGGCACTAGTAGCACTCGTAGGAGCAGTAGTCCTAGTAATGCCAGTAGTCCTAGTAGTACTAGAAGTACTATAGTAGTCCTAGTAGTCCTAGTAGTAGTAGTAGCAGAAGAAGAAGTAGCAGTAGTAAGTAGTAGCAGTAGCAGTAGCAGTAGCAGTAGCAGTAGCAGTAGCAGTAGCAGCAGCAGCAGCAGGAGCAGGAGCAGGAGCAGGAGCAGGAGTAGCAGTAGTAGTAGTAGTAGTAGTAGTAGTAGTAGTAGTAGTGGTGGCAGCAGCAGTAGTAGTACTACATCTTCTGCTGCTACTACGACTACTACTACTACTACTCCTGCTACTACTACTACTACTACTACTACTACTATTACTACGACTACTACTACTACTACTACTACTACTACTACTGCTACTGCTACTGCTACTACTACTAATACTACTACTGCTACTACTACTACTACTACTACTTCTACTACTTCTACTACTACTACTGCTGCTTGACTGCTGTACTACTGCAACAATGTAAAACTACGACTACTACTACCACGACTACTACTGCTACCACTACCAGTACCACCCTGCCACTTGCCACCTGCGACCTACTACCTGCTGCCTGCTACCGACTATCTACTGCTGCTACCACTGCTACTGCTACTGCGACCACTCCTGTTGGCATGAGCGCGAGAGGGTCGCGGTGTGCACAACATGGCGTGTCCTGTACAAAACTGCTAATTTCATTAAACTGTGCCTCACGAGTCCTCATGGGCTGACTGACAAAGTCAAGAAAGATTCACCACCTCATTTGCCCGCTTTTGTGGCCATGCATGCGGACTCTGCACTCCTTCTCACGACCTCTGACGTGCCCCCGTTTTGTCAGAGTGTGCTTGGAACTCCTGCTGCGACAGCAGGCAACCATCGAGCGCTTCGCGAACCTCGGACTCGACCATGTCGGCACCGATGAAAACGATTTCAGTTCGTCGGTCACCGAAAGGTTTGTTTTTGTACCTCTTCTGGGCCTCAGCGGGCCACTCGTCTGGTGGTGTAGTGACCACCAGCCACCTGGGACCTGCCTTGAGATCCGCCGTGAGACCGGCCGAGCTCCACTCCACGGCATTCTCCGAGTTGCCAGCCGACCACGCATAGCCCTTGGAGCGTAGCACGCCAGGGAAGGTGTAAGTGCCCAACATGCTCGCCAGACGCTCAGGGTCGAAAGGCCTGTCGGCACGGTAGATGAAGCTGGAGATGCCGTACTCTTCGGTCTCCGGCTTGTGGTGATTGCCCATTAGCTCCTGTGCCCAACCCGGTGCCATGCTCGCTTCCCTCATGTCGAAGCTCTGCGTGTTCAGGAGCAGAGCCGGGCTCACTTTGCCGTGTTGGCTTTCGAGCATGCGAGCCTTTGGGTTTAGCTTTGTCATGATTCCCCTCAAGCGACCCAGCTCCGTGGGGCTAACGAGGTCTGTCTTGTTGAGGATTATCACGTTCGCGAACTCCACTTGGTCCACCAACAAGTTCACGATGCTTCGCTCGTCCCCTTCCTCAGCCCCGAGCTCTTCCCTGGTGACGAGTTTGTCGCTGGAGCAATAATCCTTCAAAAAGTTTCTGCAGTCAACGACGGTGACGAGCGTGTCTAAACGCGCGACTCCTCCCAGCAAGGGACGACCTTGCGCGTCGGCAGCGGCAAACGTTGTGGCCACTGGCATCGGCTCCGATATTCCCGTGCTCTCGATGATCAAATGCTCGTAACGCTTCTCCAGAGCCAAGGACTTGACGCTTTCCATCAGGTCTTCGCGGAGAGTGCAGCAGATGCAGCCGTTGTGGAGCTCAATCATTTTGTCCTTGTTCTCCTGTAGCTCCACCCCATCCTTCACGAGATCCGCATCGATATTGACCGATGCCATGTCGTTGACAAGCACAGCCACCCGCATGCCCTCGCGATTGTTCAGAACGTGCGTGAGCAAAGTTGTCTTTCCGGCACCGAGAAAGCCGCTCAGCAGAGTGACCGGCAGTTTGTCCTTGTCTTCCCACACTTCCGATTCTCTCTGGATCATGGCTGCCTGGGTGGCATCGTCCTGTCCACTGAGATATTTCGCGATCTTCTCTCGCCACGCCGCACTTTTTGCTGCCTCGGTGCTCTCAGAGCCGGAGCCAGTCTCGGTCTCGTTGCCTTGGGGGGGGCCACCCGCTCCTTTGGCCGCAGCCAGCTCCGAGTCGTAGCGGGCCTGCAGTTTCCGAAGATCCCGTCGCACAGCCTCCACAGTCGACAGCTTGAGCATGGCCGCGAGCTCCTTCAATGCTGCCTCCAGCTCGTCTATGGAAACCTGTGCCTCATCCGGTGCAGCCATGCTGTTTGTCTTCGTAGAGGGACCTCGGACCTCGCCTGTCTAAACCCCTCTCGAACCAAGTCGCGGAGGATAATACAGACTCGTATTGGTGCCGGCTCCAGGTACTGTGAGATTGGTGGTCACACTTCACTGCTGGACCAGTGCTGCCTATCGAAGGCTCGCCGTGTGGCGAATCTCCCCAAACCAATCACAACCGAGACTGACACTGACACTGACCCTCTCTTGCAGCATCTTCCTATTCAACCGGCCGGGGCCCCGGGCGGCTGCAGCTCCGCCGACAGCGCCTTAACGGCTCTGAGGCTCTATGACGGCTGGGAGTCAGGGTCAGCGACAAGCGACGAGCGTGATGGTGCTGATCGTCGAGGTGGTCGTGGTGTCGGCTGCTCTCAGTGCGGTAGAAATTGACGTGATTGGCAGGCTTCGCGGGAAGATGCGCTGCAGATAATGATAAACGAACGAAGAAGTCGACAGTCATCGAGCAACGCAGGCTTCCGTACTATTGAGAAAATGCCCACCCGAAAAAACATCAGTCCAAACCCTAAAGCTTTGCAGCTTAAAGGGCGCCCTGAGATGAAGTCAGCTCCAGCTTAGAAGCCCGCAAAGGCGCAATCAGGCCCAGAAGCCCTCACATACTGCAAGCCCAACATCCTGTTCTTGCCGAGCTGTGCGCCCACTGTCACGAAGCAGCCAAGGGTACTGCCCAAGACCTGGGACGTCAGAGCATGTGCAATTCTTACCGCAAACGGTTCCATGAATTGCTGCCTGGGGCTTGAAGAGCCTGTTGGGTTTTGAAAGGCCTAGCGGCCGAGCGTTGCAGGCGGTAGAATGGTATTTCTAACCATAGGCCATAAGCTTTGTCCCAGACTTTTGCCTGGACAGGCTGCTAGCCCTCAGCAGCAGATCAGAAATCCACTCAATAGCCCGAACATGGTTTTCAAGGGGCGATTGAATCTTGGCGGATCCGAAGATTCAGAACAGGGCTTTGTATTTTGACACTACAGGACAGTAGCAGTGGCAGTTCAGGAGCTTTGGATTTCCAAACTCCATGACCTGGTCTCCCCTTTAGGCCCCAGACTGAAGAGGTGGCTTGGGAAGTCGGGTCGGGAGTTCCTGGGCTAGGTACGGTGTTTGATCTCGGAGTTGAGGATTTTTGGGTTAAATTGGTGGGCTTCCAAGGCGCTTAATCCGACCCTCCGATCCAATCGCATCTTGAACCCTCGGCTCCTTCCCCCGCAATCCCCCTTGCTCCCCTCTCTCCCACCCCCTGCGAGGCTGTCACCCCTGCACCGCCGACAGCGCCGACTGCGGCCACAGCCGCCATTTGCTTCATTCCACCTCAACACTGCAACACTATGCAGCACCGGAGTAGAAGTCCTGCTGAGCACAGCAAGAGAAGAGGGAGGAACCATTGTCGTGAGAGCAAGCACCATGCTGGATCAAACGGGTCTTCGAGCTACCCAACCGGTCTTCTCGAAACAGCTCTCACATTTCTCAACCCACTCAGGCCTGGGGGCCCTGAAGGCCTCACAGGAACTGAGCAGCAAACCTGCAGCTGTCGCAGCGCGCCCGGCATCGTTTGCCACCTGCTCAGTCCCACAGTCAGAGCACGCGAGCACTGAGAGATGTCCGCCACTCTTGTAAGGGACGCAAAAGACCGCATGAACCTGACTTGCAAGAAAGAAGTCGCCCTTTGCAGAGTTTCTGCACAAACCGGGCCACAAGGGACGAAGACCCAAGGGCGGAGGGCCCCTCTCCAGTCAAAGCTCCGTGCTGTTCGTTGGCTCCACCCAAAAGCTTCCCGGAACAAGGCAAGAGAAGGTCGTGAGACAGATCTAAAATCTTGCGATCTCCACGATATGCACCATTATGGGACCCGATGTTGAAAGTTTATCTTCATGGCCTGCTTACCTACTCCTCAGGGCGGATTAAACCGAAAGCGGAATCGTTTGAACTCTTCCGGAAGGGCTCAACCTCTGACATGAAGCCACCTGTATTTTGGGGTTTAAGGCTTGGGCTGTACTCGCAATCCACAACACGAAAACAGCCACATAGGCTCACACTCACACAGGTGCCGAGTATAGGGGAAGTGTCTGCAGGAGAGCAAAGCCACACAAACGAAGCCTGAAGCTGCAGCCCAAAACGACTGCACAGTCCGAAAGTGATGCACCCTCCGCCGCCTGCATTCCAAGCTGAACTGCACGAATCCTTGGCGTCACATCCAGCATACACTGTGCTCGAGCTTGAAACCGCGTGTAACTGCCCGACTATGTCATCTCGAAGGCCGCGAGACTCACTTCCCACCAAGGCAGCGGCTGCTGCTCAACCTTGAGTCGTTGGGCGTCAGGCGACCCCGACACAGCATGGTGGTAATCACACCGCCAGAGGCATTCAACGAGCACCTATACACACAGCAGAAGTGCCGTGAACCGTGAAACCCTCATGGCATCCAAACTAGGCTTCGAGATCGCAACGCGTGCGCTCCAAGTGCACAGCTGGAATGGCTGGAGGCCCCGAGGAGGATTTCAGGTGCTGAATCCGGGTCAACACCTGGTGTGGCTTTTGGAAGTTTGGGGCTTGTGGCTTGCGGGAGCTTCGGGCAGAGCTGGACTGTCTGTTGAACAACAAAACACACTCCGAGCATTGCTTTTATCCCAAGATTTTTTCGCCAGTGTGCGAGATAGGCTTTCACGGTGACGACATGGAAAAACGTTGAAGCGGATTGATTTAGTCCCATCATCACCGAGTCAATGTGTCTTCCGGCCGGTTCTGGGTGCTTTTGAGGCATATGCCGCATTTTAGCCTCATGCGCGATGGTACTACTGCGCTGTTGCGACAAGATGACGTTCCAGACATGCTGGCATAACATTACGGTTTCTGCGAAAGCTCGGCTCGGTCAACCGACACTGTACAGAATCTGCGCACGCAGATGTTGAGCATTTCCGCAGTGTGCTTGCATCTCTGGCGTTCGGGTGGGAAGGTCTTCAGATAAATCTGCAGAACTTTGGACTCAAGGCGAGTAGCAGGCTCTACTTTCAGTGAATTGAAAACCCCACGCAGCCCCACTGAAAGAGCACGACAAAACAACAGCAACGCTGGCTTGCACCTCCTCGCGGTGCTGCACTAGTTTTGGATGGTCCTGTGGTCACGAAGTGCTGTTCTTGAGGCGGCCAAACAAGAACTAGAGCCGTAGTCTCGACTGTTCAGTCTTGAAATGACAAGACCCAAGCCGTGCTGCGCAGCTCATTCTGCATGATCCAAGGACTGCGCTTCAAGGCTAAGTTCAAAGTCTGCAGATATGAGGGGGAGACTCGCTGTCAAGCTGGAGCCTTTTCTAAGAAGGATGTCCAGCAGCTATCCATGCCGCCGACAGCTCCTGTGCTTGTGGTTGATTCCTTCAAAATATTTCGCAATCTAGCGCCTGGCCTCCGGGTGCGTGGGCAGCGCCGCGGCGATGGCACGGGCAAGGAGTCCCTGACCTCAGCGAGTTTCAAAGGTTCGCGTTGAAGGGTGCTTTGAGGGCGTTTATGTCGCTCCGCAATCTGCCGAGGGCCTTGGCATGTACTCTGAAAATACCAATTTCGGGTGGTGATGCAACCAAGTCTGCGTCTTTTGGCTCGATTTTGCCTCTATGGGACCGTTTATGGATTTTCTTTTGCAGCTGTTAGGGTGGGGGGCTGCTGCAGTCTACAGTACTTGTTTTGACCGGTTTTGTGGGCTTTCGAGGCCGTTTATCAGGATTTTTTGCAGGGTTTCAGGGGTGGTCACGGTGCTGAACACTTCAGGATTCAGTTTTCTTGCTGCTTGCAAGCTTCCGACACTACGGCCACTCCTAACTGTGTCGTCCTGTGTCCAGGGCACTTCACTGGACGGGAAATAATAATGACCAAAATGCGATTGGCCTGACTTGCAATCAGGTGTAAGTTACTGTGTGAGCTGTGTGGGCTGCGAGGCCAAAGCTGCAGTATGCGTAAGATTGTGTCGGGGAATGCACTCGGCTCAGACGCTGGCATTCCTCGTACTTCTTCAGGGCTGTCGGCACATCCTGGGTTGTAAGGCTTGGCATGCTTTTGCAACGTCTGTTGGCAAGTCGTGTCACGAGTTCGGCCCCGCGCCGGAACGGCTAAAGCATAACATTTCCACTCATGCTGAGATCCCGACACCGGCACGGTCACGCTCAATGGCCTCGTTCTCGACCACAGCGGCTGCCACAACCAAGCTCTTGCAAAGGTCCTGCAGGGCAATGCTTCGGCGATGCCTGCGCGACGAGCATATCGCTGTCACGCAGTTCTAGTGGCTGTAAGGAACCACAACATATCCAAAGCTTGTTGCAGCTATTGTTCGTCTAACAGAGCCTTACTTGCTGACCGAGTGGCTTTTGATCCCATGTCGCATTCCGGCCGATTTGATGAGAACAGCAATCACGCACATGAAACATGCTTTGGACTGGTGCAAGCCTCCGTGGTGCAACACCAAGCTTAGATTGTCTTGCGGCCTTGTCGTTTTGTCAACAAATTTGACACATCAGAGTCGACACTTCATTCAACTGAGCTCACCAATTGAAAATGGACCGACAGATGGCAATGAGCGGCGCGCCTCCACCATGGACATGGCTCCTGCAAGGGAGTCGTGTCTCATCATGCAAAGCACTTCCGGGCAGCTCCCGACTGCTGAGGAAAGCATGGTGATGAACAACAGGTGGGCGTAAACATGTATCCGATCGCCGAACAGCCTCCGCATACCTCGTATGGTATCGCCACCTAAAATTGTGGCCCCACGAATGCTTCCGCCTGCCCTGTGAACACTGTGCACTCGAAACCACCCCAACCCCAAGACTCAAGGCCTTGCAACTGCAAGTTACGCCTAAGCTCCTTTTGCTAAGCTTTAGGGTTTGCGCCTGGCCTCGGTGTCTCGGGCGTCCGGCAGCAAAGGCTCCAATTGAGGACGTGCTGTGACGGTCCGCAATAAAATCGGCTGTGCTGCCTTTTCGTACCACGTAAACTTGTGGTTTAGCAGTGCGCAAACTAACAGCGTCATACATCTACACCTGTTTCTTGCCCGCAGAGCCAGAACACTTGCAATGGGCATTCCACCCCAGGTAGCATCAGAGGTAACCGCGGCAAAATCGGCCATGACCATGCCAGCTTGCCTTGAGTTGCTGCTGCTTTTGGCTTGTTTGCACTTGAAGGTCAAGACCCGGCTTGACTTAACTAAACCAGATCAAGGCTGGCATTGCCGACATCAAAGAATTTACGAACAAATTGCGACCCGCAACCAAACGAAAGTGCACTTTGCACAGAAAACACTTGCACAAGGCTTGGCTACGACTGCTGAGATTCGGATGCAATCTCTATCACCATCAACAATAACATCTCGATCGCTATGATTCCCATCGCTGCCTTTTCATTTTATCGTTCAATCTCTTGTAGTCACAACCACTAGACGCGTCACCTTCACCATTAACTTTTTGTTCAGGTTTCTCAGTGTTGGCTTCATGCTGATAGCTCTAATCGGCAGCCCAAGCCGAAATTATCACCACCAGGCGAAGCAATATCCGCATGGTCACGATTATCTCCATTTTCACCGTCCTGCTCACAAGGTCATCATCATCATCATCACCATCGCCATCATGAACTTAACAGTTTCGCGTGGGTGCCAAGCCTTCCGGTCCAAAGCCCCAATCATTGACACCTCTCTTTTTCCCAACGAATGTGGCGCTCGAGGGTCCAGTGCCACGGTGCTGCAGAAGGCACGACCTGGCACGGACTGTGATTCGCGTAGTCTGTGTCTGCTTTTCAGCGAACTTGGTGTTAATGTGGCATCGTAAGCCCATGTTCTGGACTTTGTGTGGAAGTGTCGGGTGTCTTCAGGCTATATGATTCAGCAGGTGTTTTGAAGGTTTAGGGTGCGGCCTTAAGGTTCAGAACCCAGGATGGGCGCAACGAATGTTCAGCCCTCAAGTTTGAGCGCAATCTTGAGCATGATGCCAGTGATCACAGAAGCAGGTTTCTTGGCGACAGGAGGCTGCGAAGACTACGGAAACACTAGGACTCACGAGCATTGGTATGGTCACGATGGTGAGCAGGACAGTTTGATCATTGTGGTGCAGTCGGAGGTGCTAAACAGAATGGCCAGAATGCAAGTCTGTCAATGCTGTTGTCATCTTTTTCCGTCCCCTTCTGACATTTGGCCTCCATTAAGGGGTCATGATTTCAACAGGCAGCCCGGGACTGGGACTACTTTTGGAGTGACGACCGCTGAGGCGATTCTTTCCATGATTACGTCGATGATTGCAGAGTCTCTTAGTCTCTTGTGTTCAGCGGCAGCACCACTATCAAGTTGCTAGCAGCGTGGCAGCACTGTCACCGGCAAGAGGAGAAGACGCGTGAGGAAGGGGAGGAAGCATAAGATAGATTGATGCGGGAAGGCCAAGAACATGTTGAAGTTCACGCGAAAGTGGCAAGGACAAGTAGCTCGAGTTCAGGGCGCTTCATCCTCAAGCTAATCTGTTTCGTACATCCTTGCCACTTCCCATGCAACCGCAATAAGAAGAAAAGACAAGAAACATGTCACGAAACGGAGTTCATGCTGAGTGTAGAGTGTAGAGCTTGCAGACCACTTGCAGCTCGACTCTTCTAAAACACAGTACATCGGTGCTTGCATGAAACTCGTGAACCAATTTGAACGCGTCGAAGTGTAGGTGCTGATCCACCAATGCCACTGCACCATAACTATGCTGGCAGCTTACCTTCATGCCCTTACCCCTTGAAATTTGCAATGTGCTATGACTGCGCGAAATCGAGCCGAGGCGCTGAGTGCCGCCCCGCAGGCGCACCGACAGGTGGACTGTACGGTGCGTCCCGAGAAAGATCAAGCACTGCTGGTGGGGCGCCACGCCCACCTTGTTGCCGATCTTTGCCTTCAGATGGTCGACCGTGTCGCTCGTATCCAAAGGACAAGAAGGGTCTTCCCGGTCACCAACACGACCTTCCCGGCCGGAAAAGCTTGTGATCGCTTACCGGGATTCCGAGATCCCAAACCCCAAACCTCAAGAGCAGAAAGTCGGACAATGTGAAACCGAAGACCGAACCCCTAGAAGCTTGAACCCAGGGTCCGAGGTTGCAGGGAAGCTCAATATACCTCTAAACCTTCAATAACTCAAAAGCCCTTCAAGCTCAAGAATCCCTCTCCGCTTCCTGCTCTTCGTCTTCACTGTCTGCTGCCGCAAGGTCGGCCCATACGACCTGCAAGACTGGGGGTGTGGAAGGCTGGACATAATATCAACAAAGCCTTTCAAGCTCAAGAATCCCTCTTCGCTTCCTGTTCTTCGTCGTCGCTATCATTGGCGGCCAGGTCTGCCCACACGACCTGGAAGACTTCACGTGCGGAGATGAGCTTCGGAAGGAGCGACAATGCTCTGCTAGGTTTCGAAGGCAGGCAACAAGGCTTCGCAGACTTTCCAAGTCCGACGCCTGCAGAGCAGCAAAACCCGACAAGATCCGAGGAGCCGCTGCGCCCGCTGGCCCGTAAGGGAGCCTTTAAAGCTGCGCTCTCGGCACATGGACCGTAGGGAAGACCCCGAAATCTTCTCAGCAGGACCTCGCGGCATCCGCAATGCTGCAGAAAATGACATGGAAGTATGATGTGAACACAGTCTTCAGATCGTCAGGCAAATGAGTCGATGATGCTCCTTATTCATCCCCAGGTTCTAGGACGCAAAGAAAAGAAAACGACCCGGATCACACCCCAGATATCCAATCATGCGAGACAACCAAGTATTCGGGCTATGCATGTCTGAGCCTTAAACCGCGAACGGTAGAGGAGAATGTGGTGAACATGGCTGCCAGTGCCACGATGATCTGTATTACGCTTCTTCTTTTTCTTCTTCGGCCATTCGGGTTTGCGGCTCCGGATTTGGTGGTTCAGGTCCATGCCTCGGGACTTGGGGGTTCAGAATGAGAAGTCGAAGTAGGGAGAGTCAGGGAAGGTGGGGGAATGTTTCCAGTTTACTGGGCTTTCGAAGGCCTGTAAACAAGGTACTGAAGATCCGCTTCCCACGGCTACCTCCCTCCAGTACACATGCCCAAACGCAAAAACATTCAAAGATTTCGGAGCTGCGATTGCGCCAAGGTACGCGATTTCTGCCGAAGGTTGCAATATGGCCATCCCGCCGCACATGGTATGGGCGATCCGGGCCTTGTGTTCGTGTACTGATGAACAACGGTGTTCCTTTCTTGAAGCGGAGGGGTCCCTGCAACATCTAGATAAAACCTATGCTCAGAGGAATGGATGATAACGGCGCCAGATGTGGGCGATAGCCCTTGAGCTGGACTATTTCTGCAACTACTGATTGCCCTAGCTGGGATCACAATTTAGGCATAGCTTTCTCAGCCTGCCACTACATAGGAACAACATCAAGCGAGTCAGCGCAGAAGAACCAGTTACAACTCCAACCGCTGAGGTCGGCACATCATTGAGGCCAGTTGGAAATACGACCTGATGAGGCTTGTTCTTGCCGACACTTTTACTCTGCGTGTTACTACCGTGTGAGTGCCCTTGGCAACGTGCCAAGGAGTTGGTGGGAAGGTTAGGCTTCTGTTCTGCAAGGGTCTGGACCAAATCGACGGCGATAAATTGCAAGTTTGGCGATTGAATGACGGATACAGGTTCTCTTGCATGAAAGCTGCATCGGAATATCGCCAAGGATGGGGCGGTGGCAAATGCAAGGAAAAACTCGAGTGCAACGCCAGCCGCCTTCGCCTTCGCCAAAGCCGCGGCCGAACCCGTCCGCCTCGGCTACTGGGGTTTTCACATAGCAGCAAGGCGAAGTAAAACTAGTAGTTGTAGCAGCTATAAGAGCGTAAGAGTAGTAGTCTTCCTCCTCGTAGTAGTAGTAGTAGTAGTCGTCGTACGTAGCAGTAGTAGTAGGAGTAGCAGTAGCAGTAGCAGAGGCAGTAGCAGTAGCAGTAGCAGTAGTAGTAGTAGTAGTAGTAGTACCCTTATCCCCCCTGCATAGGCGCCCCCCCTCTCATCTTGTGCCGACCATGCTCTCATGTCAGCTTATGCTCTGGTTCGATGCTCAGTTAAAAGGTATATATATATATAACATAATGTAGAAAACATATGTTTATCTACATTATGTTATATATATATACACATGATGTTATGAGTATATAGATAAGGAAGGAATCATGTACAAATAGATACACAATATCTCTACATTCTGATATATGTATATATATATATATATATATATATATGTAGGAAGGAATCGTGCTCATGGGAAAGTGCCCATTATGGCATGCCAAGACTTGGCCGAAGGCCAAGCAGCTGGCCAGAGGAAAGAGTAAACAGCAGACGACACAATGCTCTGCATGTGGGAAGTTGGGCCACAGGAAGGACAGCAAGAAGTGTCCATTGCACAAGACGAAGTCTCCGAAGAAACAACTTCCGAAATGGGTGCCGCCTTACTTGGAACAGTCTGCAAAGGGTGATAAGGGCCTTCTAGATTTGAAGCAGCTTTCGTACCCTGAACTTTGGCAGAAACATTGTCGCTCTTCTGCTGTGGCTCAGAGAACTTTGGAGTCATGGGGCTGGCTACCGAAACTCAAAGGCAGAAGCTGCTGGAAGTGCGGTGGTTCCTTGAGTCTCAAGAAGGCTACCTTGAGATGCAACAAAAAGCATTGCCTTGTGCAGTTCAAAGATGGCCGGATACCATTCACCGCTTTGCATGCTGGTTGCAAGCATGCACACAGACGTCCTGAGGACTTCCTCAAGGCTGCTTACGTGTACACCCTGGGTGTGCCCAAGGATGCAGCTGTCCATCTCACAGGTAAGCTGCCCGAGGTGTGTAGGTGCCCATGTATGATCTATATCTCTATGTGCATATCAATTCGTGATTGTGTTGTAACTTGGAGACTCCTCGCTAGAAACGGGCTGTCATGACAGCATTCGCGAGTCTTAGGACCTCTAGCTCATATCTTGGAGGCGTGCGGTTGTGAATCTTTCTCGAGTGCCATAGAGGGGCCAAGTTCAAGGTGACATCTTGAGCATCAGTATGCATATAAAGGCTTCGGGTTCACGATCTTGGGCTTGGTGCTCAATGCAGGCTCCTCATTGGAGCCGCTGCTGCTGCTGCTGCTGCCGCTGCGGCCAACTTCCGAAAATCTTGAAAACCAGCTCAAAGAACCCAACATCCATTCCTCAAGCAAAGTTCTTCAAGCTCCAGCCATATTGACCCACTCTCCACTATGCTCAATATTCCAGGTGCCAGGCGCCTGGGCCCTCTGGGTAGCAGCGCAATGCGGAACCTCGAGACTCCGATAGTCCGAAGCATCCGAAAGCCGTAAACAAGCGGAGGTTAGCTGTCATTGTATGGTACGGTGCAGACTTCGAAATCTCCCTGCCTACAGCAAGTCGTGGCAACCGGACAGTTTGCAAACTTGGCTAGGGCCAGGGTCCCCATGTGGCTTGACCAATAAGGTTAGGATTGTCGGTCTCTTAGGTCTGGCGGAGACATGCAGGGGCCCAGCAAGCCACAGGCTCTGGAACTCTACCATCGTCCGTATGTGACACTGCAGTTGTCATTTGCATGGTGATCGGTGCGTAGCACAGGTACAGGGTGGCCGCGCGATTTTAATTTCTCTGTCGGGCCAGGTATACGGCGAATGAAGCTTCGGGGCTTTCAAGCCCTCAACCACAACTCCGGACTGGCCCCTGAAGAACCAGAAACGTTAAAGTCAACACACCTTACAAGCCGGAAAACGTCGACCATGCAAGCTCTAGTGACTCTAGAGCTATCCTGCGCAAAGTAAAACAACAACGGCAAATTCAGCAGACGCAGCAGGAACGGAGTGACTCCTTCTTGCCTCTGGGCACATGTATAGTCATGCAAGAAAACATCGATGTAAACCTTGATCACTGTCGACCCTCGTGCCCCGTCCAATTCCGAAATCCAAAAACACAGCTTCACTGTGCAAACCTTCAACAAACATGCGTGACGTTGCACGAGGGTCATGGATCATGTGAATTTGAATTGGGATAGCGATAGCTTTATGGCAACCATGGATGAGAATAGGCATGGACAGGGGTCTTGTCTTATCAAGCTACGGCTGCACACGAGGCCGAGATGGCCGGAACAACAACCCCGCACTTGGATTGGCGCAAGCCTCCGCACAGTAACGCCAAGTGCTTACTCAGTCTTGCGGTCTTGTCGTTTTGCCACAGATGTGAGCAGATGTAGAGCAAGGCGGGCCAGATGCAGCACAATTTCGTGCAAAAAATCACGCGCATGCTGCGAATCTTCACCCCAAAGCCTTCATGTGGCCTAGACATACGGCAGCCGCGACAGCAAGCAGACTCATAAAGTGGGACCGACTAGATCTGGCCATGGACCCGGTCATCAGTGGCGAGCCTCCACCATGGCCGCGACATGGCACCTGCGAGCGATTCAGTGTGGAAACCGAAAACTTCCGGTTGAACATTTATTCGGCCGGACAGCCTCCACATACGCCTGATGGTGTGGCCGAGCCTGCCCCGGCAACCCTGCTGCATCCGAAACCACCCCGGCTTTCAGACTCAAGGCCCTGGGAGGCAAACTACCACTTAGCTCCAACACTGTCGTCTTGAGAAGTTGGGATTGTGCCGGCCTCGCACGTCAGTGTCCGGGGTGTAAGACAGCAAAGGCTTCATCTGAGGATTTGGTGTGAAGTGCCCGCATCAATGTTGGCTGCACCGCTTTCTTCGTAGTAGCACGTACATCTGCGGTTCAGTTAACTGTGAAAGCTATAGCGGTCATAAACCTACACCTATTTCTCGCCCACTGAGCCTGAACGATCGCAAAAGGCAATCCACTCTGTAGTTGCTGCTGGCTTTCGGTTGCTTGCACCTGAAGCTCTCAAGACCTGGCTTGACTGAAACTAAACAAAGCATGGCAACGCCGACATCTGGAACCTGCGAACACCTTGCGACACGCAGCCAAACGAAAGAACACCTTGCAAAAAAGGCATTCGTTGAAAGGCTTGGCGTGGATGCCACTACCATCTCCATATCAACATCAACATGATCGCAACCACTGCCGCAGTGGTCATCATCATGTCATGTTCGAGCCCTGGCAATCGGAGCCATCATACGTTCATGGTCATGACAGCTTCAATCGTCACCACTGCATAACCTTCACCACCGCCAGCACAAGCAGCACCACCGCAAGATCAAATAACATCCTCATGGTTAGTGTCGTCGCCATCACCACCGTCCTGGTCAAAATCATCACCATGACCATGACCATCACCATCGCCACGATGAGCCGAATGCTTTCTCGCGGCGCCAGCCTGAAAAAAGTTGAGGGAGTCTCTCTTGACACACTGTTTGACCGGGGATAAATGATCCAACTTACTTTGTCCTTTGCCAAACTGGCTTGCGCAGTTCGTGTGAGCTGCAAGCCACACCGCCTGACACCATTCTTTTCCCAACGATGTTATGCTCGCATGTCCATCGCCACCATGAACTTGAAGCTTTCTCGTGGTGCCTAACCTTGCGGCCCAAAACCCCAGTCATTGACACCCCTCTTTTCCCAACGAAGGCGGCGCTCGTGTGTCCAGTGCCACATTGCTGCAGAAGGCACAACCTGGCACGGACGGTGATTAGTGCACTTGGTCTTAATGTGGCACCTATAGGATTACAGTACTGTTCGACCTACGTCCAGCTGGAGCTCCAAAGATTGGTGTTTGCGGTTTGGTGTGGATGTCTCGAGTAGGAGCCGTGGGAAGAGGACCTACAGTCCTTATTCGCAGGCCTTCTCGAGCCCGGCAAAGCGGAAACATTCCCCCACCTTCCCTTCAAAACCCAATGAGACTCTCCCTACTTCGACTTCTGATTCTGATCCGAGGAGCCACTGACCTGTGCCGGCAGGCGCACCTGGTAGCGGCGTCGAGTGGTACAAGCGATTTTGATAGCGATCCGGGCCTTGGGTTCGTGCACTGATTAATAGGGGTGTTCCCTTCTTAACCCTGCAACATCTAGATAGAACCCATGTTGAGAGGAACGGATCATAATGGTGCCCGATGTGTGTGATAGCCCTTGAACTGAACTATTTCTGAAGATGCTGATTGATCTGGCTGGGGATTGCTCTCTCAGCCTGCAGATACCAACGCCATGCGAATCTCATAACTGCAACTGCTGAGGTCGGCACGGAATTTATGCCCGTAGGGAACACCACCTGATGAGGCTAGTTCTTGCCGATACTCTCCGTGTTAATTACTACCGTATGACTTGCCTTGAGCTCCTCCCGCTGAACCGCGGCTGGCCTCGCGGCCTCGTGGTCGGAGGCTCGGAGTTTAGGTTTGGTGTACCGGCACGGCTTAGGGCCCAGGGCTTGGGGTTGTGCTTGGGCCCGAGCTAGTTAGACTAGCTTTAGCCCCAAAGTGAACGAGTTGAGATCACCATGGAAACTGGACGAACAGAAGGGTGCACCCCCGTGGGAACAACCGGACTTGCGAGTTGTCTGCTCACATGGTACCAACATTAGCTATGCATTTTGACCTCGTCGGGCACACGCTTCGAATCTCCATGAATTAAATGCTTCAAGAAATGCGCTTAGCTGAATTACTCCGTTTGCGGAGCTGTTGCAAACGGGCCTACAGGAGTCAGCAGCTCCGAAGCTCAAAACAATACATATCACCAACCATTGCAAAGCCACTGCAAAAGTGCTTCTGCGCCTCGTCCATCTCCTCCGACTGCTGCTGCAGTCGACGCAGCTCTGCCTCCTCCTGCTCAGGTCCACCGGTCACGATTTCACGTTCTGCACAGCACATTCACCCTGTGCAGTGTGAGGAAAGCCCTTCGACACACCGTCCGCAACCTCAGAACGTGCGGAGGCGGCTGCTGCAATGAGGCTCTCTTCCTCCAGCACCTGCTTAGAGGACGAAGCTTGTGGTTACGTCACACATGGTCGACAAGTCGAGGTACACAACACATGAGGGCCTCGCCTTCTTTTTCATTTCCGCGCACGCTGCCTGTGCGGGCCACGCTAGCTGGACAGCTACGAAAATCCTCGAACATAGGATTACGAAGGGATGTACAGGGCTTGCGTGCCGTTTCCTTCGGGCCTCTGCTTGCAGGCGCTGCTGGGTGGCTGCTTGCATGGCTGCCTGGATGGCAGCGGTAGCACTGCTTCAGAAACAGACGGGACAGGGGTTTCCGTTCTCATGCAGCAAAGTCTTGGAGCTTCAGAGTGCGATTTCCTCGGTTCTTAGACTGGGAAACTGAAGTGGCATGAGCAGCGGCTTCCCGAAACCTTCACACACTGCCACGCTCGCCTTGGCTGCTTCCGCTTCTTCGCGCCTTGCATGGCTTGACGGCTTCGTTGAGATGTTCGGGCTCGTGTCGTTCTGCATCATCTTTCCGATGATGCGCAAGCCTACTCCACGCCCTGAGGTCCTAAACTCCTAAACAGCTCCGCTTCTCAAAACAGAAGCTCTGTAAAACTAAACTTGCGGCTGCAAACTCCTTCTGAACCGCAAGATCTACTCTAAAACCTGCAAAATGCAAAAGGCCCAGGCCCCCAACCTCACGGCAGAGACCACGCTTTGAAGAGCGACATCACGAATCCTGCACCCCAAACCTCGTAACTACACCGAAATAAGCGTGCTCAACAAGCCGAGCCCCACAACCGGCACCCCAAACCACCACTTGGGCGAGGGACGCCATGGCTGCTTCTTCCTCTGCCTCCGACACTTCGACCCAAGGGGGGTTGCGCTATTAGGCTTGGCTCTCAAGTTCCGGGGTCGGAGAGCTCAGGTCCCGGAAGTGCCGGGGTTTGGGGCGTTGCTTCGGGCATGCAGTGTCGGCACCAGGAGGTTTGCGAGAAGGCCACACTAGCACGCACATGTCCAGCAGACCGTCAACCCGCAATACCCTGCAACCCTGACTGGAAACCTTCCAAGCAAATATAAACCCGAGAAATCGAGAAATGCCCGCGTAGATGAGAGCCATTTTGAAGCATGCTTTCGATATGGCCACCAAGGCTTGACACACTGACAACCCACCAGCATAGGCAGTGCCAATAATGTAACTTGCTGTATCTACGGGCGTTCGAACATTGGCAGAGCTATCCTGAGGAAGCATCTATAAGTTTGACTGCACGGGAAAAGCAAAGACAAGACAGCCGACTTTAGGCTTGCATGTTCACCCGCACAAGTCGCGCAATCCTGGCGGACGATGATAAGGAGCTTGGCATTGTCCGCATTTGCCTCATCTTAAGGCAATCTCATGCAATACAAACTCTGGTGCTATCAGCATAATGACAGTTAACACATTGCTGTCAAGCCTCGTCCTAATAGTCGCTGTATATTCAAATGATTCACATCACTTTCGCAAGACTACTTTGCACGGTCTCAGGTCACGGTCTCAGGTGGTGCGGCTGATACTGTTGATAGCATGAACAGCATGAACAGCACTCCGATCGTTCCTTTAGTAATCCTGTTGACACTCGTCAACAAACTGAACACGCGTAATGGCTGGCTATCTAGCGAGTCCGACAGTCTCTACCATGAACAAACCACCTCCGTGCCGGATGTTGGCAGCCACCAAACCCAGAACACCCATCATTACACAACAGCAAATGCTTTTGCTGTGCATCGGGATTCTGATCCAGACGCGAGGTGTGATGGAGACTATTCAGGGATTGTCGTATGTCCACCCCTGTGCTCTGGGAAGTGCGGTTAACCTCCGCGTAGCTCTAGCAGCCATAAAATCCTTTTCCACTTCGAAAGACCCTGACGCAAGCGATGCGGTGCGACACTTGGGCACTGATCCGACGTCAGGAGCATCACAACAACGGAACCCGTATTTGCGACCACCACACGAAGAAACCCGCAATTCTCAGGAATGTCTGTTCAGCCGTACTATCCTCCATGTAGCCATACAGCGCCACAACCTCACCCACAAGTATTCCAATCCTACATGAAGTGCGAATTTGATTTCTGGGTCCTGGGTTCTCCCGGAGGAACCGCATACCGTTACCGCAGCCCGTGCTGACAGGCCCATCCCATGAGCCCACGAATCGCCAGTCAGTTTCTGGCCTTCTGGAGGTGTTTGAGCCTTCGGTACTCCTCGCATGCAGGATAGTCAAGTGTTTATAGCTTGAGAAGCTAACGCACTGCAACCCCGCCCGGTAACGTGCCCGCAGCTCCTCGTGGTAGCCGTCCTGCAAGGATTGGAGCGAAGATGATCAGCTTCAGCTTTAATCACGCAAGGTTTTGTGGACCACAGCACCACAGCACGCGCGGCCGAGCATGTGACACAAGTCTCAGCCGGTCCTACCTCAAACGACAAGGTTTTCCTCCACAGCCTTGCCTGGTCCTTCCGCAGTCTGAGGCCCCCACAAAAAAGGGCTGCAAGAACTCGAAACACATGGCGTCCACG